TAGTTTATTACAGTATGGGTAATTACTTGAAGGCACTTTCTTATTATGAAAATGCACTTGAAATTCAGCAAGAATCACTTCTTCGCAATCATCCAGATATGGCTTTTTCCTACAATAATATTGGCAATGTGAAAAATACCATGGGTAATTATGCCGAGGCACTTTCTTATTATGTCAAAGGCCTTGAAATTCGAAAACAATCACTTCCTCCCAATCGTACTCATTTGGCTCATTGTTACAATAATATTGGTGTGGTACATGCTAAGATGGGTAATAATCCCGAAGCACTTTTATTTCACGAAAAAGCCCTTGAAATTCGTCAAGAATCACTTCCTCCGAATCATCCGGATCTGGCTCATTCTTACGGAAATATTGGTTCCGTACTTCACAGTATGATTAATTATTCAAAAGCACTTTCATTTTACGAGAAAGCCCTCGAAATTCAACAACAGTCACGTCCTGCCAATCATCCGGATTTGGCTCATTCATACGGAAACATTGGTTTAGTGCATGACAGCATGGGTAATTATCCGAAAGCACTTTCATTCCACGGAAAAGCCCTGGAAATATGGCAGCAATCAGTTCCTCCTAATTGTCCTCAGTTGGCTGGTTCCTATAACAACATTGGTGTAGTACATGATTGCATGGGTGCTTATGTCGAAGCACTTTCATTTCACAAAAAAGCTCTAGAAGTTCAACAACAATCACTACCTCCCAGTCATCCTGATTTGGCTAATTCTTATAACAACATTGGTAATGTGCATAACCATATGGTTAACTATCCAGAAGCTCTTTCATTTCATGAAAAAGCTCTTGAAATTCAACATCAGTCACTTCCTGCCAATCATCCCGATTTAGCTGATTCCTGTAACAACATTGGTGTAGTACATAACAACATGGGTAATTATCCAAAAGCACTTTCATTTCATGAGAGAGCTCTTAAAATTCGAGAACAATCGCTAACTAGTAATCACCCTGAGTTGGCTAGTTCCTATCACAACATTGGTGAAGTGCATAGAAACATGGGTAATTACTCAAAAGCTCGTACATTTTATGAACATGCTATACAAATTGGAGAAAAATTATTACCTTGGAATCATTTTGAACTTCAGAAATATAGAAATGACCTCGCACATGTAAATAACAAATAGAAAATTGTATTACTATGATTTTTTTTTATTGAAACGAAAAAATAAAGTTTTTAAATAAGAAAATGTTTTTTTAAATCCGCGTACGCAGAGAGAAAGTTTGATCTTGTGGGTGTGAACGTGTTTGTGATTTGAATGAAGGTGTGTTTGTTTTGACTGTAATACTAATATCCACATTCACTCCATTCTCACTCACACGGACACAATCGATTGAAAAAAACTAAACTTTTGCTATAAGAAATTATAATTTCTACATGAATCATCTTTTTATTCATAATTAACTTCTGTCGCTATTGTTTCAGATCCTTTGTTACTATTCTGTGCTCATTACTCGACGATTTTTCTTCAACATCGAAATGTATTTTCAACTGAATAAAATAGACTATTGATTGAGTACAGAAAACAATTTTATCTATATCAATCATAATCAAATACAAAAAATTCTTTGATACTCCATTAAAAATATTTGCATACTTTGGTGAACAATATTAAAAAGAAATATTTTATTTTATTAATCAACGAATAATGTTTTCAAGGACAAGTAAACTGGAAAACAAGTCATTTACCGAGATTTTAATTATGAATTATTAAATATATATGTATATTCACTTGCTACATATCTTCAATCAACAACAGTCACTTTTCTCTATTTTCATTTTATTTCATTAGTGATGATTATAAAATGATACAAATTATATAATAGATTCAACAAAAGATAGTTCTTACATATTTATTCGAATTTTCATCATCCGCTTACTATTAATAATTATCTTACATATCGAAATGTGTATTTAAAAAAGAAGTTATGTAAGTCGAAAAAGAATATTGATAAAATACTTACAATATAGTCTCACCATTATTTCAATTGAATCTCCTCGAAACAATTCAAAAGAATTTTTCAAATATTTATTTCATGACACTATCTATTTATATATGTGCCATGATTGCGTTCAATAATTTCTGACTAAAACAAGAACAGTTTAATCAAGTGAAGAGTTAACTTATACAAAAATCATCATTTTCAACTGGAATAAAAGTCTACTTAACTTTTTTTTTGTATAAAGATCGATTGAACTCATTTGCTAGAATAGATATATGTACTAAGTATACTTATCAATAAAATATATTACACTATTGACTTAAAGCAAATAGAAAGTGTCGATTATTTGCTTTCTTTTCGTACTAAGAATCATATGTCAATGATCAAAACATAAGTTAAAAATATATCATGGATGATTTTACAAATTATCCATTTCCAACTTATCTACCAAATAAATTAATTGCATATATATTTTCATCATTTGTTTTTCTTTCATTTATTCTTTGGTGTATAAAATCTATTCAAAATCATTTTCAACCAATACGTTTAATTATTCTGTTATTTTTATCGCATTTAACAATCTTTTGTGAACTTATTATTCGTGCAACAATCTATTTTACACAAACAAATTCACAAACAATTTATATTCTTATAACTATTCTTTATACTATAGGACAACGTTCAATAATTATTGCAAATTATACTTATCTCGTACAATTTTCAAATAAAAAATTTCGATTTCTTTTTCTTGGAATAAGTTTAAGTATTCTTCTATCGGATATTCTTATGACACCAGCAGGTTTATTATCATTTCAATCAAATAAAATTCATTTAAGTTTTTTATTTCGACAAATCTCAACATCAATTATATGTTTAATAACTATTTTATTTTATTTTATATGGTTGTGGACAAAAAACATTTTCAAATATGTCATACGAATTAATTATTTTATTAATTATTTCAAATTTTAATTGTTTAATTATTGCATTTTATCTTTTAATTATGTCATTACCCAAATATTATATTATGTTTAATGATGATGAAGATTGGTTTTATTGTTTTCAGATATTACCAATTGTACTTATGTTATTTGCTTGGTCAATATTACATCCAAAACAAAGTCTATATGTTCGAAATCAATTAAATATTGAAAAAGTACCTGATGAAAAAATTGTTTCATTTATATTTTAATATTTATTATGATAAAAATATATGTCATGTGATAAAAAGAATTATTTTCCTTAATATTTCTGATACTAGTATATACTTAAGATCATTATATATATAGAATGCATGATTACAAATGAAAATATGTATTTCAATAATGTTCTTACGAGGGTACCTCATTTTCTTCCCTTACGCCTTTGGAGCCGAGTTATAGCCTTTTTACTGAATTTTTGACCATTTTTTCGATATTAAGCAGAAAACCAAATACCGGAGTTTTAAGCTGAAGTTTTGTCCATAGACAAGTCTAATCATCTGTAGAATATCCTGAAAATTTCACCTAAAAAACTGTTCCTGTATCGAGATATTGAATTTTTAAAAAACCAGCGTTTATCATAGACAACGAGCAAAAAGCCAATTTAATTGAATATCCATTATTTCGACACAGGAACAGTTTTTTCAGGTGCAATTTTCAGGATATTCTACAGATGATTAGACTTGTCTATGGACAAAATTTCAGCTTAATATCGAAAAAAATGGCCAAAAATTCAGTAAAAAGGCCATAACTCGGCTCCAAAAGCCTAAGGGGAGAAACCCTTTTAGGTTTTTTCTAGTCTCACTAAGACCTACTTGAGTGCCCAATATGAGTCCAAATGAAGTGTATCAGTTGGTGAGGTTCCCTCGTTAGTTTGGAAATAAACCATAGTCTGTGTATTGAATACTATGGCATCTATAAGGTATATTTATGTTATTAACTCTTAAAATACAAGTCATACTATAGAAGACTGGACATGTTTTCAGAGTATAAGGATTGAATAGAATTATTATTTTCTTTTAAAAAATTATACAAGTTTTTTTTTTATGAAATATTTGTACAAAAGCATCAATTTAAATTTTATTACGAAAGTTAAATTTATGAATGTATATCATAAACATCAATACATGATGTTAGTCAATATGATCTAAAATTCTCAATCACAAACATAAAATTTGCGCATTTATACATGATAATACTTGACAATGAACATCTGTCGATAACAAAAATCGGAAAAGAACAGATCTGAAACTAAAAACAGAAAAAAACAACAAACAAAACCATCAAATATATATCTGATTTTACACGAAATAACAAAACTACAATATTAAAGTGCTTCTCATGAATACAAATATGTATATATATACGAAATTATACACAAAGAAAATAATAAACTAAAAAAAACAAAGAAATCGAACACATATTATTCATTTTTTTCTTTTATTAATTGTGGGTTTTTTTTTACGTTTTCGTACTGATGAATAACGTTTAGCAAGTATAAGTTTTCCTTGTGCTGTTAACCATTTTTTTGCTTTTATTGGTTCATTTGGTTTAAATAAAGTTTGTCGGCTACCATCGGCATCTCCTGCTTGCATTGCATTGCATAATTTATTGGCCCATGGATATGAAAGACAATGATAAACAACAAAATGATTTAATAAACCTGTATTTTCATGAGTTTGACTTTCTTCACATAATCTTATATCATGATATTTAGTTAAACCAAATACACCTAATTTTGTTAATGGACAACGGCCACGATATGATTTTGGTAATATACTTACAAGTGATTCTGTTGATTGTGAAAAAAGATCAGCATCACGTTCACAACCATTATACATTATGTGACGGACAAGACGTACTAGAAATGAAAAATTATTCATATTTATATAATATATCATTTCGTTTCTAATATATACATGAAGCTTTTGAGCTAAGACAATGGAAAACACGTAAATGTGTAAACAAATAAATGGACGATATATTACTACGTGAACACGGTACATGACGTAATTGATGTTTATTTGTATCAATGCCGTATAATTTGTCGGCTAATGGACATGTACCAACTTGAAAATGATTTACCGCTGGTTTCTATATTTATTTAAAGATGGAAAAAACAAAATATTTATAAAACAAATATATATAAATATATATTACCGGTGATGAAACATCTCTTTTACGACGTATACTACAATTTAACAAGAAGATATTATTATTATTTTTTATTTAAAAGAGAAAATATAATATGACTAACCTTGTAGTAACTGTTCGACCACTATCACCAAAATCAGGATCAGAACCAAGATTATCATTATCTGATTCATCATCTTCATCTATTTCTTCGTCTAAATGAAATAGAATAGAGTATATATATATATATGTAATACATATTTTTATTTACCTGATCGAGATGGTTCATCAAGACTATCTTTTCTGTCAGTACTTGGCCCTTCTTTTCTACTATTGTTAGTAATACCTGAGGTTTTACCATTTGGAATGCTAAAAATAAAGATATTTTAATAAGAATATATAATACAGTTATGGTAATTCTATTTTCTTTATTTTTATAATCTTTCAATAGTTAATATTTTCTATCTTATCTAAATCTATGACAAATCTTGCATTCGTAAGATTCTAAATTGAATTGCAGATTACTGCTGTTAATATAAATATATATATAGTATTAATCCATTTAGTGAAGTATCATAGTTATTCTTTACTTTGATTTATCAAATTTGAAAATAATTATCATCCAATATTAATCCAAATATATCTTTTAGTAGAATAAATCATATAGAGAAACATTCATGGATTCGAAGAAGGATAATACTACAGAGATTGTATTGAAGAATTTAACTAAATATTTACAGTAAAAATATATAGAATACAAGTTTTGTTTCTAAGAATTCATGTTAGTACATTCACCACTATATTCAAGAATGTTTTTATAATTCTAATTACATAAGTTTTTACATATGAGAAGTATACAATTATATATGAGAATATTGTTATGAACATTAAGATTTTCTATACGAAGTTACAAAAAAAAGATTTAAAAATGAATTGTTCTTCATGAAGGTAACTTAAAATCATATAAAAAAAATACCTACTTTGATTTTTCTTGTTGGTCATGCAAAGAATGACCATTTGTATTCTGTTCTGGTGTAGCAGTACCATCATCATCATCATCGTCATCATCAATTTCTTCGTAATCAATAGAAAATTGTGCTAAAGGTGATGATTTATTTACTAAAAAATTCAAAATAAATATCAATAATAATTTTTTTTGGTCTCATATCTATTGTACGAACTTCTAGGTTTAGTAATAATTTCTTCATTCTTCACTCTTAATAATGGACTAGAACTTTCTATAAATATAAAGAAAAATACATCCGTTTATTTTATTTGAATATATAAGGAATAGGTTTTTTTCTTATACCATTTGTTACTCCATTTGGTTGATGATAATCACAATCATTAATTAATTGATGAATTTGATGCATAAATTTTTTGAATTGTAAACGCTTTTGTGATGATTCTGAAATATGTAAACGTAGATCAGCACAATCTTGCGGTCTAATCGTTGTTTGTACTGTTTTTTCATGAAAATATCTATCGTTTACTTGATAATATTCTATTTCTTGATTAAAAAATTTAACTAATTTTTGTTTTTCTGTTTCAATATCATCAATAAATTGTTTATTTAAAATTTGTTGTTGTTTACCATCATTTAATAAAACTTGATATTCTTGTTTATAATTAGCATAATGTTCATTAAGATGTTCTATACATACAAATAATTTACAATGTGGACAGTAAGTAAAATGTGCTTGGCAACACATTGATACTTGACACTTATCATCATCCGGTGGATCAGGGGTCATTAGATAAAAAAAAATAATTTAATCTACAAAAAAAGAAACAAAAAATTTATTTCTGCCTTTTGTTTTCAATTGTTTTAATAGATGAAATTTTATTAGATAGAATTACCGTTACGATAAGAAAAACTTTTGTAGAACCTTGAGAATGAATAAAATTTGTGAATATTTTTGTAACAGTTTCAAACTGAAGATTTACTATATGACATTTTAGTTTTCACGCAGCTGAATCTACTCAATTAGACTAGTACGACTGTAAACTTTTTCAGTTTTATAGCTTTTAATGGAATTGTATAAAGTTCGCTAGTCTATATTTACACTGGAAAAGCATCTCTCGATTTATATCATGAAGTGGTTCAAGGTATTTCTTCTTGAAAAAAAATGACTAATATGTTGCTAAAATTGATCTACGCATTTTTACGATATACATTCATCAATGTCATAATGAAACATAGCTGATAATCACGTAACATACAAAAAAATATTAACTATGAAGTTTACTTATAACATTATCAAAAAAATAGAAATAAATCTTCTACAAGTACTTTACACGAAATATATGATTGTAACACTGAGTTTATACAGAAAGAACTGTATAAACAACACCCTCAAACACACAATTCCTATATCTAATATTTGTCACAGATCACTGACTATGATTAGTCTTTATATTATTTAAATGATCTGATTATATTTTATCTCCTCTTATTTCTATAAAAAAGGACAATCTTTATTTTCTTATTTTCTATAAACTCCTCTAAAAATTGAATGATTATATTGATTTAACTGCTTATGTTATTAAAAATTTTGTAAACGAATAATTTTTAATAACTGTTTTTTATTTATCAGGAAAATATAATTGAAACTGTAATTAACGTTTAATTACTTCATCAAATATTTTATAAGTATATTGTTTTTCATGTTTAAAATTTAATAAAATTTTCTCTTTACAGAACGATTCATTGTATTTTTGTGTATAAGATTTGTTATATGACATCGATTTCTGTAAGATGTCAGAGTTTGCATCATGATGGAATGCAGATTTGATGTAATAATCTAAAACTTCAGTATTGAAGATAGGATGAGTGATCTATATTTTCATACATTAATTTCAAAAACTATTTTCAATATCTTATAGATTCTATTTTGTAGTGATTAAAAATATAGAAAAACTCATATATTAGAATGTACATATGGTAAGCACATCGAAATATCATTTTATTTATACATTATAAAACAAAATCTAGTTTTTATCATAATTAAAAATAGTGATCATCAAACAAGTTCATCATGAACTTGTTAACGATCAAGAATATGTTATGATAGTGACTAGAATCTCTCAGAATACGCTATCTAATTCATATAATATACTTAATAGATCTTTTATTTACTAAGATCAATATCAATTTTCTATCTTAAACAAAAAAAATTATCACTCTTTACTTTAATCATCTGTTGCAGAGCGCGTATATACACGAAACTATAATGCGTACAAAAATATTCTACTCAAATTGTACATGAAACAACGTCAGAATTGAGTAGAGGTATATTCACTCGTAGAAGCTAATCATTATGTACTATATTATGTAGGCACGTGTTTGTTTTTCTACTTTTTGACAAAATCCAAAAAAAATTTTGATAAGTCGAAAAGACCTGTCATCGAACAAGTAACCTTTATGTTTTTATCGGATCATATGTAAAATCTCACCTATTTGACCTATAATTATATTTCTCATACCGTGCGTAAATGCTATAAAATATATGAATAAAAATTGATTGACGACTCCAAATAATGTAGAATGATATAAGCTGCTATTGAACACATGTCACAACGAAAAAGTAATTCATCTGTATTTCAATTGAAGAAAAAAATCAAAATCAGTTAGAGAATTTTGACTCACCACTAATTAATCTAAATCCCATTAATAAAAGAAAAGTCTAAAAACAAAACAGAGAAATTATATGTATATTTGTCTATTAAATTTGAACAAAATTCATATTATTCGTCTTTTGTCCTTGATAGCCTATATTAAACAATGACAATTATAAACACACATGCACTTACAAACAAAAAGAAGAAAAGAACACAAGAGTGACAATAAATGGGAAGAAAAAAAAAGAAACTAGTTAGATAAATAAATCTAACGGACAGAAAGAAAAAAAATTTCGATAATCAACAGAGGAGTAAAACATTATATACAATAAGAAGAAAAAGAAAACGAGAGAAGACAAGTTTACTGATATATCGAGCCATAAAAGTGAATAAAAAATGAAAACAAACGACAGATATATTATAAAAAAAAGAAAGCAATATGTATTTTTTTAATAATCATCACCAGATTGATGAAGGAGGAGGAGGTTGTTGATGATGATGATGATTATTATTTTGTGGAATCGATTTTGCTAATTGTGTTGGTGGCCGAAAGCGATTAGCATTCTAAGAAGATAAACATCGAAAATTATATTTTTATTGTTTTATATCATAAGATTGTACTTAAAATAATGTATCAAATAATCTTATGATAGAATGAAATTTTGTCTATCCTAAATAGAAGTACGTATAATAGACGGATAAAAATTATTTTTTTATTTTTTCTAGTGATGATTTATATTAGAAGTTATGTTAAACAACTATTCAAGAATTATTCTGTCGATAACAAATTGTGTCTAATTTGGATATTACGTCAAGATTAAGACTAACAAAATTTATCCTTCGATACTTCTACTTATGATACAGAATGACGATATCTTTGTTATCGTTATCGTCCTTTTTCAATACTGAAACTAAACCTGTGGCAACATAGCTCATCTGTAACTTACGAACATCAAGTCAAAAAAGTTCGTGAAATTGAATTTAAATAAACAAAATTTTAATGTATCTGCATAAGTCTTCATTGGATTCATGTTCGTATAAAATTTTTATTATGACAACACAAATAGAAAGAAAAATCATATTCATATGAAAATATGTCAATTGAATCAGTCACATTCTTTATGAAACATTTCATTATCTTAAATATTTAAAAATATTATTAGACAATAATCTATCTCATCGAACTCTTATCGTTTAATACTTTAGCAATTTTCATCTATCAATAGTTGTTTTTTTTTATTTTACCTTTTTCTTTTTTGCTTTGAGAATGTTTTCGTCTCTTTCAAATAATCCAATCGATCTTCCATTTGTATTCGCTTGTTCATGACGTAGTGCAGATGCAATACGTTTGGCAGCAATTTTATTTAAATGATGTACATCTCTTAAGTGTCCAGTTAAATACCGCAATTTAACTGTTGATTGACATGGTGTATGTGGTATACGTTCTTGATGTGGTAAAATAACATCATAATTACTTAATGGACATGAAACATATGCTGTCTCATTTAAAACTTGTTCATCTGGTCGAAATAATATTCGTTGACTACTATTTTCATTTTTCATCATAGCTTTAACTAATTTCATTGCACTCGCACGATTCAATTGATGAAATGCAAGAAAATGATCATATAAAGCAAAATCTTGTTGTTCAGTTGATGGTGAACATAAACGTATACCATGCATTGGTCCAAGACCAAAAACATTATGTTGAGTTAATGGACAAGGTGCACGAAAGAATGATGGAAGAATTGAAACAATTGATGATTGACTTGCTTGAGAAAATAATTTTGGATGATCTTCAAGATCACCGGAAGATACTAAGCGAACAATTTGCATTGAAGCTGCATAATTTAAGTAATGATATTGTTTAAGATGTTCAAATAGAGATATTTGAGATGTTGAACGACGTATACAGGGAATATGACGTACTTGATGATGGGATTCAATACCATACATATTTGTTGATAATGGACAATAGTCACATTTATATGTTTTTAATTCTCGAACCTAGAATAGAAAAATTTGTTTTTATGATGTAAGCATTATATTTAATAATTACTGTTAAAGAATTGTGAATTTGATTAACATCACTAGAATAAAAAAACTAATGAAATTTTGAAAAAAAATATATATATTTACGTTTCTGGAAGTCCATTTTCATCTTCAATTTCTTTTATCGCTAGAAGAAAAAGAAATAATATTGTAAAATTTATCTTTTTTTTTCTGCTTACGATTTGAGGAAGAATTATTATGATACATATAGGAAGAGTCTAAATATACAAAAAAAAACAAATTACACATTATAAATTTTATCTATTCTTTTAACATTATTATTCCTCTCTTAATTATAAACGAACTATTAATATCTTAGATATTTACTTTGATCTTGTTTAGTATTCGTTATTGCATATCGAGGTAGCTTATTATTCATATCTGTTAAATCTAAAATTACAAAATATATATATAATATTTTATTTTTTCCCTATCTATTTACCATAATCAGCTGTTGATAATAAAATTGATGTTTGATCTAAATAAATCCACCAATTAAAATATTTACTTAAATAATTGACAAAAAAACGCTAACCTCCAAATGAAGCAAATAAACTTTCTTCATCAAATTGTGTATTATTCATTTGTATTGTTGAATCATGTTCATTAGTAAATTGTCCGATTTTATTCATAACAGGCATAAATGCATTTGATCGATTAAGACATGAACGCATGTCATCATGTGAGATTTTCGATTGTATATATGGATTTAATTGTCTATATTGTATTATATCATTATCATACATTTGATTTAATTTTGGATGTTGTTGTTCAGATATTCTTGTATCATATGTTGATAATTGTGCTTGTTGTCTTCTTGCATCATCTAATAAACGTTGAAAATCACTTGGAAATTGTTGTTGATGTTCAGCTAAATGTTTTATACAAAGAAATAATTGACAATGACGACAGATTGTAAATTGAAATGCATCACATTGTGAATGTTGACATAATGATGGAGATGATGAAGCCATGAATTATGTCTAATCATAAAATACAACACAACACAAGTATTAATGAAGTCAAATAAATAAACAAAATATGATAGGAACAAAAAATGAATGAATGAATGAAACAAACATATTAATGACATCTAGCAAAAGAACGCCATCTTTTATATTTTGTTATTGGTTTTTAATTTATAGCGAATAGAATATTTTCTAATCTAACGATTTTTTTGGTAAGAAAAAAAATTAAAAAATTTAGTTCAATAATGATTGATCGTGCAGCTAGAATTAAAAATAATTTATCCGAACAATTGAAACTTTTTTATGATTATACAAAAGATGTTCAAACAAAAGTTATTAAACCTAATCCATTACCTTTGTACGTTTATAAATGTTTTTTGAAATTAATATTTAATCTATGTTTTGTATTCATGATATATTTAGACCGATATTTCGTTTAAATACTGATATTATTCCTGTTCGGAAATCATTACCACTTACAATATCAAATCTTCCACGATTATCTTTAGCAATAGATCAATCAAATGTCAATATATCTCATTCATCTGTAAAAGAAGCAACAGTTACAACACCTAGTCGAGATTTATCGAAATTATCGTTGAATCTAAATGTAAGTTAAGCTATTTGATATTAATAGAAAAAACAGTTTAGAAATATATTTGAAAGTGTAAGATTGTTGTGTAAGTAAATCGGTATAAAACTTGTCGATCTCAATATTATAAAGTACACAGCTAACATTAGGCTGAACAATAGATAAAAATATAGAAGTTTATCAAGAAGTTAATAAGTAAAAGTTTCAGGTGTACACAACTTTGTTGCTTTTTTTTGTTTTTGTTGATCAAAATCTAAAATGCTTGTCTCTTATTATATATGCATATATAATAGTACACATAAACAAATTAAACGAATTGTTTTAAACAATTAAATGGAAATTTTGATCGATGAAGCATTAAGGAATATATAAATAATAAGATCAATATTTAAGAAAGGTGTCAGCGGCACGGCGGCTTTGATTTTAAAAATTTCTGCTGTCACGGCGGCGGCTTTAATTCTTTTTTGGTTGATCGGTAGCGACGACAGCTGTTTTAATTCTTTTTAGTTTAACCGCACGGCTAACACTTCTAGTTATAGACTAACGATACAAACGACGAGCGAATATAATATCAGATACTGATCTCAAAAGAATTTTGACTTACTCAATCGTGAGAATCTTGCATTCATTCTTTTCTTGGAAAGAAAAATAGTCAGATATGAAGGAATCAAGTATTATAAAGTTTAATTATTTCCTTATAGTGAATCTGCATTAATCAAGAAATTCTAAATTAAATTGATTTAAGAATGATTTGTTCTTATTAAAAAAACAGGTTGAAGACATTGAATAAAATCATTTATTTTTAGAATTCTGCAAAAGCAACATCAAAAACAGAATCATCTTCAGTTATTCAAACAACCGAGTCATCGTCAGTTATTAAGAAAAATGGATCACCTTCAGTTATTAAAAAAACTCAAACATCTATATCATCTTTTCTCAATGCTAAATTCGAACCTAAAACAATTTCTCCTTCTACCAATAAACTTCAAACATCTATATCATCTTTTTTCGATACTAAATCTGAACCTAAAACAACTTCTCCTCCTATCAATAAATTTCGAACATCAATAACATCAGCATCACCATCTCTTCCAAAAAAAATAGAAGCCGCCTCTTCTTCATCTCTGTGTCCATTATGTACTCAACCTTATGATCCAATATCTCGTCGACCCATCAGTGAAGATTCATGTGGTCATACAATGTGTTTACAATGTTTTATATTTAAAAATAATCAAAATGGTTGTATACAATGTGCAAAAATAGAAAAAGAGAATTTTCTATCTAAAACAACAGTTAAAGATGATGATTTTGCTGATTTTGATCAAAATCAATTATTTGATGAATGGAATGAAGAAGAATCATTAGAACTAACAAATATGGATACAATGAATTCAATTTATGATGATGATACTGAAGAAGGTGATGAAAGTGATGAAGAAAATCTTATTGATATTAAACCAAATCCATATAAAGTTCAATGGTTATCAGATATTAAAGATGATGCAGCTGAATTTTCAAGTGATCATACATATCCACATACACAAACATTGTTCGAAGTCTTTGATAATATATTTGGTTTAAAACAAGTATTTAAAATTTAAATATAAAAATAGAAATTAATTTCAAAAATATATTTCTTTAGTTTCGTTCAAATCAATTAGAGGCAATAAATGCTGCATTATTACATCATGATTGTTTTGTTCTTATGCCAACTGGTTTGTTTTGAAAGATATAAATCAATAATACAATAATTTTTAATTTTAGGTGGAGGAAAATCTTTATGTTATCAATTACCAGCAGTCATGGATAAAGGTGTCACATTTATTATATCACCATTACGTTCACTTATATATGATCAAAAACAAAAATTAGTATCATTAGGTATCGAGTGTGGAGCTTTAACAAGTGATGTATCACAAAGAGAAGTCGATGAAGTTTATCGAGAACTTTATAAACATACACCAGGATTAAAAATTGTTTATGTTACACCGGAAAAAATAGCTAAAAGTGTAAGAAATAATTAATATGAGAAATATGATTTGATTTTATATTTATATAGGATCAATTAACTCAATTACTGAAAAATTTATATGAACGAAAACTTTTAGCAAGATTTGTTATCGATGAATGTCATTGTGTGTCCGAATGGGGTAAGAAATAAGTTTATACTAGTCAAGATTTTTATTTATATTATTAATTTAGGTCATGATTTTCGTCCTGATTATGCAAGTCTTGGTAATCTATTTTTTCTTCTATTTATCGATCATTAAAAATATTAGAGCGAGTATTTTCGAATACAACTTTTTTTGAATAGTTTCAAATCAGTAGTAGTTGGAATTGCGTAATGACTGGATCAGAATAGAAGATCGATCCTCAAGAATTTGAGATTGTAGTTTTCTTATGATGATTTTTTCTTTTAGGTCAATTACGTGTTAAATATCCTGGTATCAATGTAATTTTACTAACAGCAACAGCTACACCACGTGTTCAAAAAGATATATTACAACAAATGAAAATTAATATAAATCAATGTAAATTATTTATACAATCATTTAATCGTTCCAATTTAATTTATGAATGTGCATTAAAAGGCACAACAGATACAGCATTAAAAAAAGTAGCTAATTTAATTATTAGCCATTATAATGATAAATGTGGAATTGTTTACTGTTTTTCACGTGCTGAATGTGATAAAACAGGTATATAAATCCCTCCCTCTCTCTCATCTTTTTTTGCATTATTTCTTTTTAATTGCAGCTAAATATTTATCAGCATATAAAATAAATGCATTACCTTATCATGCTGGATTAAGTGATTCAAAACGACAACTTGTACAAAATCAATGGGCAAATGATGACTGTCAAGTAAAACGAACAAAAAAAAAGGAATTTGATTGAAAAAGAATTCCATTTTTATTTAATATAGGTTATTTGTGCAACTATTGCTTTTGGAATGGGTATTGATAAACCAAATGTTCGTTTTGTTATTCATCTTTCTATGCCAAAATCGATTGAAGTTTGTATAAATCTTATTTGGATATTTTTTGTAAAAACATATCGATACCATTATTCTAGGGATATTATCAAGAATCAGGTCGAGCTGGACGTGATGGTGAAATATCTTATTGTTACCTATTTTTTTGCTATCAAGATTTAGTTAAAATGAAACGACTTATTCTAAGTAAGTAATTATTATTTTGCAATTCTATTATTATACATATATAAAATCAGCTTTGGATGAAACTTTAATCGTTTATTGTAATCAAATACTTATAAATAGATTACTTTCTAAAAGTTTATCTTGTCTATCTACAATATAATATAAAATTTAGTGTTTAATTTGTTCATAATTATTTTCGTTTAGATGATGATGGTCAGACATCAACGAAAGAAGCAAAAAAAGTTCGTGTCGATAATCTCAATCGTGTTTATGATTATTGTTTAAATAATGTAACTTGTCGACGAACACAGTAAGAATAAAAGAAATCTTTTAATAAAGAAAAAAATATGTCATTGAAATCTTTTTTCGTAGATTATTGGAATATTTTGGTGAATTATTTCCATCAAGTGAATGTAAACGAATGAAACGAACTGTATGTGATAATTGTCGACAAGTATTAAAAACAACATCAATTAATTGTACACAAATGAGTATCGAAATTATTAAATTAGTTTCGGAATTTTTACATAAAAATATTACATTACCAGCTGCTTTGGATATACTTCGTGGTGCGAATACAAAAGGTATTCGAGATGCTGGTCATAATAATCTAGCTGCTTACAATTCATGTAATCAACTAAGTAGAGTTGGTAAGTTTATCTTAGCAAATAATATTATACTTTCTTTTAGTTTGAATGATTTGAAAACATTCTATTTTCACTGATGATCTGATTGAATGTCAAGTTCTAACTTTGATAATCGATTGATAGTATGAAATACTTTCTAGTTTGAGTCAAAACAAACGTATTTTTACTGAATACTATTTTTGTTATGAAAGTATTTTTCTATTACCTCATAATGTGACATAGATATTTCTATAATATATGAATATTGTGGCAAAAATCCATTCATACTAAGTCATATTTCAAGAAATTTGTAGTGAATATTACAAATATTAATGAGCAAAAACAAGAAGAGTAGAAAATTACTTAATATAGTGGATTATATGGTAAAGCTTTCTTCGCGAACTAAAATAAATTAGGCGTATCATTTTTCTTCCTTGCTTATAAACTACACATCAAATGGTCACAAAAATATGCGATAACTTTAACAAGTAGTATAGATAAAAAGAACACTTCTCTATTTGACATACTAATTAAAAAGGTGTAATACAATGAAATTGATGGTTTTTTTGTCAGAGCCTATCAAATATAATTCCTTAAAGAATAAGAACCATTAGATTTTATATAGAAATATGTTTGTTTAGAGAAGAGAGCGAAAAATAGACATATCAAACATATGTAGATTACTGAATATTTCTTAAAGTAATAATTTTCTTACAAAGATAGCGACTTCTATTAAAACACATTTTACATATCTTATATTAATATTATATTCAACTGTCCTTCTTAAATTTATATTTTTATTATTTATTTAGATCTTGAACGTCTCGTATGTCGTTTAATTCTTGAAGGTTATCTACTTCAAGAAATAGTTACACATCAACAGCAATCGTTTGAATCTTCAGCAGCCTATTTACGTTTAGGTCCTAAAGCTCATATGGCTTTATCAAATCAATCGAATAGATTCATGAATCCAATTGAATTAACAATACGTACAGAACAATCCAATATAACAAATGATGAAAAACGTAAACAACAAACACCAGTTGAACAATTAAATGAACAGTGTTTAAAAGAACTTAAAAAAGAACTCAAATCAATATTTGGTCAAAATTCACATGCAATGATTATTCCTGAACGTGCTATTAAAGAAATGGTTAAATTAATGCCGTAAGATTTTTCTCTAATAAAATTCAAAATATTTTCACATTTTCTTTTGGCTTTTTTTTAGTCGAACAAAAGAAGCGATGATTAAAGATGTTAATGAAATAACTGAAGAACGTTATAAACGTCATGAACTTCATCGTTTATTAGCCATAACACAACGTTTTGGTAAAGAACTTGATGAAATAAAACGTAAAGAAGAAAATGCTCGTAAAGCATTATTACAAACAACAACATCAAAACGAAAATTAACTTTAAGTGATGAAGAACAAGAAGATATTGATTTTTCAACCGATGCTGATGGTTTTATTAAAGTAAATAAACAAGGAAAGAAAACAAATGGTCATTATAATCGATTTGTTAAAAGTAAAAAACGACCAGCATCATTTTTTGCTCGAAAAAATGCAATAGCTAAACGAAAACGTGGAGGATTTTAACTCAGATATTTTTTTTTCGTAAAATGAAAACAATGAAACCTATGTGTGTTTACTCTATATATATATTTTCATAGATATTGACTGAATTATTTTTTTGTCAGATTAGTTTTTTTTTCTTGATAGTCAGATTGTAAGCAAATAAATGATAATTGTATGTCAGATAAAAAAATTAGAAATAAAGAAAAATGTATTTGTTAGTTTTTATAAACATTTTTCTACTATTATATATACATATAAAAGATTTTATTTTTCAGATATTTGAAATTCTTCAAGATAATATAGATAGATCATGAAACAATTTACAGTAATAATTTCATTTGTTCGGATTGAAGATTTTTAAATTTAAGTTAAGATTTAAATTATTATCTTTTGAATATTTTTTTATATGCTGTTAATACTATGAGAATTGATAAAAAGTCAATAACAATTCAATAATTATATTAGAAGAATACAATTGTGTAGGAATTCTAATTTTCTTGAGAATTTCAATGTTAAATAAATAAAAGATAAACATATTTCTTTGGTGTTTTATTCAGCATGGTTTTCTTTCATGAGTTCCTCCCTTTGTGTTTGATCTGACGTCATTTGTTATTGCATAATGCCTCACCAATATTCGTTTGTATTTAAATACGTTAAATTTCTTTAATATTGTGAAATAAGATCACATATACCCAAATACAACTATCGACAAAAGAATATCTCTTTCTTAAATATGTCTAACGCATCATCATCAGGAACAGGAACCGTGTAAGTGTAAACCACTTTGAATTTCACCCGTGTTTTTCAATCATAGGAATTTATTTAAATTTATCTATAAAGAACGAAAAACATTTTAGAAGATTTGAGATCATATATTAGATGAAACATTAGATGTATCTCACTTTGGATATATTTTTATAAATTATAGATTTCGTATTTGGTCGATTAAGATTTTTTTTTTGAGATAATATTAAGACATGAACATTCTGTGAATTACTTTCTTATAGTCGTCGTGAGCCAGGTGATTGGCCTTGTCAACAATGTAACGAAATTAACTTTAAATCACGGACTGCTTGCCGTCGTTGCTCGACTCCACGAAATCAATCCACATCAAGCAATCCTACCGCTACTGCTGCAACTAGTACTACTCCTCAAACTATTTCTAAACCAAGCGATTGGGCATGTCAATTTTGTAAGGTTAATAATTTTGCTGCTCGCACAGCATGTTTTAAATGTAATCGATCAAAGCAAGATTCCACGAGTTCAATTACTCCATCATCGACAACAACCAAACAAGGCGATTGGGCATGTCATTTTTGTAACATTAATAATTTTGCTTCTCGCACAGCATGTTTTAAATGTAATCGACCAAAACAAAATTCCACGAGTTCAACTACTCTATCATCGTCGGCAACAACTAAACAAGGTGATTGGAAATGTCCATCTTGTTCTGATATGAATTTTGGTTCGCGTATTGTATGTCGTGCTTGTGGTACAGCTCGACCATCACCTGAAAGTAATAACAATACAAACGAATGTGTTATTTGTATGGAAAAGCCTATTGATTCAGTAATAACAAAATGTGGTCATTCAGCTGTATGTCTTGAATGTGGGGCTCATATAGCTCAATGTCCTATCTGTCGTAATACTTTTACTCAAGAAGAAATTATTAAACTTTATAATGTTCATTAATTAACTGCATGTTTTTTTTTTTCCTACATAATAAAATTTCTTTTTTTTTTTTTATTAATTTTATCCTATTTTATAGATTAAATGAAAATTTCTAATAAAAAAAAGAAAGATACTATATTTGCTCCATCGAGTTTACATGGTATTTCAAAATGGATAAAAGAATATCGTGATCGTTTTTCAATTGATATTAATCAACTTGAAAAAACATCTCGAGATTTTCTTACTCTTAATAAATCAACATCTAATAAACAAACTAAAGATAAGAAACAATTAAATAATGAAGATGATGATGATGATGATGATGGTTGGACAGTCGTTTCACGTTCATTAAAAAAAACTCGTCAACGTATGGTACCATCAACAGATAAAACATTAAGTCGTTTACGTGCAAAACATAAACGTTCAAATCAAAAAAAAGAATTAGTCAATTTTTATAAATTTCAAATGACTGATAAGAAAATTGATCAACTTGAACAATTAAAAATGAAATTTGAATTAGATAAACAACGTATTACACAAATGAGACAACAACGAAAATTTAAACCATTTTAAAAAATTTTCATTGTCTAGTTGTTTTTGTTTTTGTTTTGAATAAATGAACAACACATAAAAAGAGAAAGAAAGTTTTCATTAGTAAATCAAATGGCGGCACGATTACAGTTGTTGAATCAAAATATTTCACATTAATTATGCTTGCAGTTATTCTATCAAATACGGTTGTAATGATTTTTGAAACATATGATTTTTATTACCAAAAATATCATTCATTTTTTCTTTTATGTGAAAGAATATATCTATCTCCTGAAACTGATGACATATATAGCTCGGATTTTCAGTATAAGTCTCACAGTGATATAGTGAACACACATGTGTGAGAAACTGATCTGGAGTGATTGTTTATAGTGGAGAAATAGACATACGAAAATGTGATTCCATCACGGCACATATTTCTGCAGCGTAAAGGTAGCTTTAAATATTTTTTTCTTTAGATACTGTATCATCGAGTCTATCAATCTGCTACAAATCATGATTTTTATCCCTGTTGTTAAATTGAATTTTACACTTTTGTGCAATTGGTTAAACATGACGTTCCCTTTTATGTGATTTCACAACGTGGTATATTTTTGATCATAAAACAGAAACAGCTTTGGTAAACTTAGGAAAAACTCTCATACTTTTAAAGAGGTATTAGGCTCACATAGACTGTATAAAGACTCAGTCTTACTGGTTTCCCTATGATCGAGTTATAGAATTTACATGAGGAAAAAACGTGATCCAATCACGCTTGAACACGCTGACATATTTCTTTTGTGTTTTATACAGCATGTTTTCCTTTCATGAGTGCCTTCCTTTATGTTTGATCTGACGTCATCTGTTATTATATAATGATTCACCAATATTTGTTTATATTTATACACGTTAAGTTTCTTTAATATTGTATAATAAGATCACATATATCCAAATACAATTATTGACAAAAGATTATCTTCCTTTTAAACATGCCTAAAGCATCATCATCAGGAACTGGAAAGTTGTAAGTATGAACCACCTTAAGTTTCCCCAATGTTTTTTTTACTATAAGAATACAAGACATTTTGGAAGATTTGAGATCATATATTAGATGAGACATTATATGCATTTGACTTTGAATATAATCTTATAAATTATAGATTTCTCATGTGGTCGATTAAGATTTTGTTTTGAGATAGTATTAAGACATGAACATTCTGTGAACTACTTTTTTTTATAGTCGTCGTGAGCGAGGTGATTGGCCTTGTAAACAATGTAACGAAATTAACTTTAAATCACGGACTGCTTGCCGTCGTTGTTCGACTCCACGTAATCAACCCAAATCAAGCAATCCTACCGCTACTGCTGCAACTAGTACTACTCCTCAAACTCTTTCCTGGCCAGGCGATTGGATATGTGATTTTTGTGCGACTAATAATTTTGCTGCACGTACAGCATGTTTTCAATGTAATCGACAGAAACAAGATTCCACGAGTTTACCTACTTCATCATCGACAACAATTAAGCCAGGTGATTGGACATGTCAATTTTGTAACATTAATAATTTTGCTTCTCGCACAGCATGTTTTAAATGTAGTCGACCAAAACAAGATTCCATGAGTTCAATTACTCCATCGTCGACAACAACCAAACCAGGTGATTGGACATGTCAGTTTTGTAACATTAATAATTTTGCTACTCGTACAGCATGTTTTAAATGTAGCCGACCAAAACAAGATTCCATGGATATTGATATTACTACTGTATTAACAACAAAACCAGGTGATTGGAAGTGTCCATCTTGTTCTGATATGAATTTTGATTCATGTATTGTATGTCGTTCTTGTGGCACAGCTCGACTATCAGCTGAGAATAATAACGATAAAAAGGAATGTTTTATTTGGGAGTTGTAGGAAAACGTCGAAACTTTTAAAGACTACAATAGAAAAATTTAATTGTTTTCGTTCTTATTGGCCACTCCTGTAACCAGCATGTTTTAATTTTCATTGTCTAGTTGTTTTTGTTTTTGTTTTGAATAAATAAACAACACATAAAAAGAGAAAGACAATTTTCATTAGTAAATCAAATGGCGGCACGATTACATAAATTTCTTGATCAATATTCTTCTTCAATTTGTACATTGAATAATGTTGTTGAATCAAAATATTTCACATTAATTATGCTTGCAGTTATTCTATCAAATACGGTTGTAATGATTTTTGAAACATATGATTTTTATTATCAAAAATATTATTCATTTTTCCTTTTATGTGAAAGAATATATTTATGTATTTACATTATTGAATGTTGTCTTAAAATATGGGTAAATTAACAAATAGAATGAATAATTTTAGTTAAATGATGAACATGGTCTTCCATTTTGATATTGACAGAATAGTAGAAGTAATTTAATCGTTTCATAAAACATAGATTATTTTCCTTATAGATTACTCTAATGCTCACAGTCCATTGCCTTTTAGATCGAATTATTTAAAAAAATGATGAATTTTAGTTATGCATGATGCCTTTAAAAGATTGTCTAACGCTGTATAATTTATGTCATTTCTTTCCGAAATAGAATATTAGATCTTCACTCATCTAACTAAATTTCGTTTTTGCATACAAATGTATTGACATGTCAATAAAAAATTAAATTTTATAATATTTGAGCGTGCCATGATGTGATTTACTTAAATCAAAATAAAATCTATGCTACGTAACATTTCTGGTATTAAGTCAATTAGAGAGACATTTGTAAAATATTTCATTGTATTCTCTCATCTATTACAAGTATAACTGACTAAATTTTTCTACTTGCTTTGTAATCGATCTAGAAACTTTTTACATCATAAAATGTTGATTATTAATTTAGGTTTATTCGTGGAGATTTTTTAAAACTTTATGGAATTGTTTTGATTTATTTATTATTATTATTAGTATTATTGATTTGATTACTCAACAATTAACACATGATAGTACTCATTCATCGTTACAAATCGATCATAATAAACAAATACAGTTAGTTTATATTCAATCTTTTTTTTTCTATTTTAAAAATCAAACTATTTAGAACACAATTTGAACGAATAAATCATTTTTTAAAAATCCTCCGTGTCCTACGTGTACTTCGAAGTTTTCGAGCACTTCGTGTTCTTCGTACAATACGTTTTATACAATCAGTTCATACAATTGTTAAAACATGTTCAAAAGCATTACCTGCTATGGCTAGTATAACATTTATTATGATTATAATCACATGTATATCAGCTATAATTGCACGTAGTTTATTTGCTGATATATGTCCAGAAAAATTTGATAATCTCGTAAACACATTTTTCTCACTTTTTACTTTATTAACACTTGATGATTGGTATTCAATATATCAAGTATGTTCTGAACGTGATTATTCGAATTTTGAATTAATTTTTTGTTTAATTTATATATTTATTATTAATTTTATTTTACTTAATCTTCTTATGGCTGTACTTGGTAAGATAAATATTTTTTGAATAGATACATATTAATAAAAATATTTAGTGGATAGTTTTCAAGATACACTTGATTATGATACAAAGGAAAATAATCAATTAAAAAATGAAAATAATATTGAAGAAAAAATTGAGAATAATCTAACAAAATTAATAGAAGAATATTGTGTCGATAGAAAATTTAATGAAGAGAAGAATGATATTTCTACGGAAAAAAGATTGAAACTGATGAAGGAATATTTTATGTTATTGGAAAGTTTAGAATTTCGAATGGAAAAACATGAACAGTTAATCAAATTAAAACAAAAATCAATTAAATTCACATTAATTGATCAAGAAAATCGAAAAGTCGCCGCAAAGAAATGATTAAATTTGAACTATCGAATCAAAAAATTTACTGTCTTATTAACTTTTTTTTCTCATAATGGAAGACTAAACTAAATAAATTGTTATACTAATCTATATGTAAACTATGAAATAAACGAATTTTTGAGACTATAGATCAATATATGCTCTATCTACACCTAAGGATAGAATCTCGATCAAGTATAAGTCTATTTAGTTATCTTTAATATATTATTAGATACACAAACATACTATTGATGATATTGAAATCTTTATTAAGTGCAAAATTATATTTTTATTTATATTTGATAATAAGTTGATTGCTTTCTATTTTTCTTTATTTGATTACGAGCGTCTAATCGATGATATATTTCACTGGGATAATTTTTTTTAACCAAAATTAAATGACATGCATCATTGTGAGCTGTACATCATTTAGATAGTACGACGACATCTGCTGCAAAACCAAAAATACAGCATTGTAAATCTTGTTCTGTATATTTCCATTCAAGACAATCAGGTGTAGAGATTCAAACAAAAGTTGTTCACTTGCGATATATATTCTTCTTGGAAATAGGATAAACATACATGTTGATAATAGATATTGTTGATAGATACTTTCATCAAAGCATTTAGATATAAACTACTATATATTCATATATATAAATATCATCACTATGATAATTTATCATAGATATGGTCTAGACTATTAATACTCTATATTTGATTATCAACTGTACTAATTAGTATGGTTAAAATGATGACATTCTATTATTAATCATTCATCTTATAAGAATCTTCTGAAACTCTGGTAGAAATAGGTTAAAACAAAATTTGATCTCTACTCACCATTTTACTTATTTGTAAAATAGGAAAAGGAAACATTAATAAAATTAAACGAGCTTTTGAATTGTATTAAGAACTCAAATACTTCAAAGTATCTTTAATTTAATCTATTGATATTCAACAAATGTGTTCTGTTAAATAAATATTTACATATAACCTTATGTAAACTTTGAACTATAGAGAGATAGTTAATTATCAATGACTAAAAGTGACCTCTATTGATTGAGATCTGTATTGATTGTATTATTTTGATGACTTTTTCTATACGAAGAATAATACATCTTTTCTTTTCTTCTTCTTTTCCTTTCTTTGATTATATTTACATTACATATTACATCGGCTTATTGCTCCTGTTTGTTTGTTTATTGTATTGTTACTACATAAAAACAATAACGATCGATTTCGATCGTCTAGAGAATAGTATAAATCATTGATTTCTATTTTCTTATTCTTTTAATTATTATCAAACAGACAAATCATGTTTATACGAGTGGCTGATGAAACAAAAGGAAACAATGAAATTGTTGAAATTCCAGTTGATGGTGGTATTGATGGTTCAGTTTCATTGAGTACACTCGCTGCTCAATTTCAAGGTGTGAGTGCATTGAAATATCGCAATTCTGAGACGAGTGTGTGGAGAGGGTGAGTGAACGTGTTTGTTTGTTTGTTCTTTTGTTATATTTATATAATGTGTGTTGAGTGAATTGTGCGGTGGTTATATCCTTCCCTTCCATCGTCTATTTATATAAAATAATTCTTTTTTTGTGACTATTATTTTCTATTTTCTCAGTGTTCGAGTAGCTGACGGCAAACTTTATCATCCCGATGGTGTTTGGGATCCAGATTCTGTTTATGTTACTGTTTATTCAAAACGTAAGTTAATAATTTTATAATAGAGAACATATTTATGTTTATTTCAAATATAGCTATATCGTCAGATATTAAACGAAAAGGTGTCGGTGAACAACAGGAAGAATTAACAATACCAACATTAGGACAAGGTAAAAGTCAAAGAATTGATTATGGACAAGAATTAATTATTGATGGAGAAAATGAACCAGATCGTCGTTGTGTGGATTTAATTGTACTTGGAATAAGTTATCGAAGTATTGAAGCTGATGTTAAAAAATGTTTCGAGGCATTTGGTGAACTAGTTTTTTGTGAGGTAGAAAAAATTTTGAAATTTATTTATATTTATTTAAATATAAAAATATAGATTAAACGTGATGCAAATGGGCAATCACGTGGATTTGGTTTTATTCGATTTAAAAATTATGAATCTCAATTAGCTGTTATTAATAAACGACATTTTATTGATGGTAGACATGTTGACGTAAAAATTCCAGATTCAAAAGTATAAAGAAAATTATTCTTTGTAGAATAGTTGTTTGTACCGAATTTTATTTTTTAGACCAGTGCACATGAACCTGAATGTGCTCGAAAAATATTTGTTGCTCGTCTACCTGATAATATAACTCCCGATGATTTACGACAATATTTTGCAAAATATGGAGCAATCAAAGATGTTTATATACCAAAACCAGCACGTTCATTTGCTTTTGTTACATTTCATGATTCAAATATTGTACGAACATTATTTGGTACACATATTATTCTTGGTAAATTTATTAAATATTTTATTGATGTATCTTTTGTTTCTAAACTGATTTTTATTTATTTAGGTTGTAGTGTAACAGTTGGACCAGCTGAACCCAAAAATAAACCATCAGCAATTGGTGATTATCCTTCATCAACGTTTAAACGTGCAAAACCTGATCATAGTAGTTTGCGTACATTAACAGCTTATGGTGCATCACCAGCTCATCCACATTATCATCAGCAATATGGTCAAACACCAAATACAGATATGATGCATACATTCTTTCAGCAATATGGTGCAACAGCAACTGGTTCACCAAAAGGACCATTTTCAAATGCACAGCAATCTTATTGGAGTGGTACACACGAAGAAGCAGCTGCTGTTTGGCAACAACAACAGCAACAACATTATCGTTAGGAAATGTACTGTTTTCTTTTTCTCGACTTTCAAATGTTTTTTTTTCGTTCACTTCTGTTCTTGTCGTGTTTTTAAATGTGTATGTGTCTGTACAAAGCGAAGACATTAACAACAAAAAAAAAAAAAGAAAAAAAAACAACAGAAGTTCAAGACCATCTTATTGGTTTTATAGACCATAATTTATTTTCTTGCTTACGTTCAGTTATAACCGTTTGCAAATAAGCTATATTTAACGAAAGTCTATACAAATCACTGAAAATTGGTTGCTTTCCAATTAAATCCCATGTTAAAGTTTCTGGTGATGTTGCATGAGCAACAATAAGAATATTAGGTAATTCTAATGCTGAATCATGTCGTTTTTCAATTTCACGTATAACATGTTTTGAACGAAGATAATAGGCATCTTCACGTTCATAGAGAGGAACATGTGCAACAATAGGTTGATAAGATACATCAACATTGATACCATGTTTATACCAATCAGCTGGTTGAAAAAAAACATTCATACCAAATCTTGCAGCACCTAATTCTAATAAACCAGGTTCAATACGAATTGGTATTTTATTTTCTAATCCAAGACCTTTTATAATTTGAATTGTTGTTAAAACACAACGCATAGCTGGTGATGCATAAATAAAATTAGGCCGAAAATGTTTTGATTGTAGTACTCGTCCAAGTTGTTCTGCATTATGTAAACCTGTTGATGTTAAAGGTGTATCAACAGCCCAGAAATATTTATTTGCTCGAAGTGGCAAACTTGATGGAAAATTTCGATGATAAGGACGATATTGTTCGTTTTGATCAAATGCTGTCATATACCAATTAGCTCCAAAATACCGGTCAACACGTTCACCATGACGAATAATTACAACACGCATATCACATCGATCTATAGGTTGAGCTGGTTGTGGATATAGTACTTGTTGGGATAATTGTTGTAGTTGTAGTTGTAGTGGTAATTGTGGTGGAGTTGGATGTGGTGGTTGTGATGGTGTTGGATATCGTGGTAGTGGTTGTGGTTGTGGTTGTTGTTGCTGTTGCTGTTGCTGTTGTTGTTGTTGTTGCTGTTGCTGTTGTTGTTGCTGTTGGTGCTGATGATGTAACTGTTTATCAAGTTTATTTTCATCGTTTTCAAGTGGTGCGGAACGATTACGTGTAAGTGGTATAAATTGACGAATAAAACTTCGTTTCTGAGGCGTTGGTTTTTGTGACACTTGTGAAACTTGCGAAACTTGCGAAACTTGCGAACTTTGTGAACTTTGTGAAACTTGTGAAATTTGAGAAATTTGAGAGGAATCTTCTGAATCCGTTGGTGTTAATACTCTAGATGTTGTTAATTCTACAGGTACGGCTGACGATAAAAGTAGATAGAGTTTATTTGGTGTATAATCTGATAGAGAATTAACTCCTACTGGTAATAAATCATCGTCATTTATTGTTTCGGTCATTGCCGATTTATTATTCGTCACCTCCCTAAATAACAACTATCTCCTAACTGTATCGTTATTACGTCTAACGCGTTCTCGTACGTATAAACATGAAAACACCTGTATGCAGTCGGCATATATCCACATTTTTTACCTTTTGATTTTGCGAGAGTAAACAGATTTTATTTAGCATTGAAGGTTATCGTTATTTTTTTCTTTCGTAGATTCATATAATCGATATGTATTTTGTTATGAATGATGCTTTATCATCGCATATTTTACATTCTTTTTTTTTTATTTATATAAATGTTTATATATAACTTTTTTCTTACAAAAAGCGTGACATCTACATTAAAACCGAACGTAAATACCAAGTATGAGTGTATGCATCACGTTCAAGAACAGCTGTATGTAAATATGGTACTCTATCAGATTGATGAACAAACTCGTTTGAATCAAATGGCAGTCGTAATGCAATAGTTGTAAAAATTTCTGTTGATGATGCATGACCAACGATAAGAATAGTTGAACGTTGTTTTCGAGTCTGACTATGACGATGTTCGATTGCATCAAAAAGATTTCGAGTTCGCATATAATAACCATTTTCATTTTCACTAGTATTTAGATAGTTATTAATACGATGATATCTTGGATCAATATTATAACCAGATTTTCTCCATTCACCACTCGACATAAATGGACTCACTCGATCAAGTAAAACTAATCCAGTATTCCAATTCATCGGTTCAAATAAATAAGGTTCAAGACGAATAGGTACATTACTACGATTCATACCTTTCAATATTGCATTGGCTGTAAGAATACTACGCGATGCAGGTGATGAGTAACAGTAATCTACTGTAGCACCTACTTGACTTAATTGCTGTCCTTTAGCCATAGATTGTTGTTCACCTAAACGTGTTATAGGTGGATCAAATACATAAAGTAGAGTATTTGAACGTATTGGTAATTTTTGAGGTAATGCTGGATGTCTATACGCTTGTGGAGGTGCTGATGGGACACCACCAAAAACTTTTTCATACCAATCCTGACCAAGAATTTGATCAACACGTTCAGCATGTCGAAGAATAATTAAACGAAGATCATAATTAGATTGTGTTCTATGAGAAAGAACTCCACGATCATATCTTTTAAAAAATCTTCTTTTTCTATGATAACGTTTCTCATCTTTCGAATGAGGCGCAGAATTAAAGTCTAACATTTAAATAAATATTTCAATATGTTATATACAATGTTATTTTTAAAAAGAAAATGCGCATAAGACTATATATAAAGGTGATCGATCATGCGTGCTAGATAAATAGTGCAACGTGTATATATATAATTTTTTTACTCATGACAATTACTAATAACGAAAAAGGAAAATATTATTGCATTTTAATAAATAGTAGAAACTTTGTATTTTTTTTAATAACTTATAAATAATGATTCAGGAAAAAGATAAAGGACAATAAGAACGAATATTGGATGATGTTATTTTTTTTTATAAATATTAATAGAAAAGAAAATCTAAATTTCACTGATGCATATCAATTAATTGATTCGTTTATGGAGGTATATACAGAGGCAGTAATGTTGTTGTTGTTGTCGTCAATATACGTACCTATATATTCATAAAAAAAGGAGCTGACATGATAGCAACAAAAACATGTGAAAACGTGTTATTAATATAGTGAAATTATAATTATAATAAAAATAACGTTTTCTTTAATTATAAATACGAAGATTTATTTCTAAATAATATTTCAAATTTTTATCTACATAATATATGTATAACATAATCTATGTCATGTGACGCGATGAATGTTTTGGAAAAATACGATGTCCTTGATAAAATCAGATTAGGCCATGAATGGTTAAAAAAAAAATTACCGTTTTTTTTCTTCTATAGATATATATTTAAATAGTTTCTTTTTTCCTTGATCTATATTAGACCTGTAATCGAAAAAAAAATAGCAATTTAATATAACATATTTTTACGTATTATAAATTAGTATAAATATAATATTTTCATCGAATATATTTATTTTGACAAGGAATTAATTACAACATAAACTAATATGTATAAAGTGTTTTCATTTGTTTTTTGTTTGTTTGTTTACATGCCAAATGGTTCGATTCCAATTTTATGACCACTAAACGGACATTGACTACCAGAGAGTGATGGTCGTTTATTAATGTTACTTTTAACTGGTGTTCGTGGTACTGGTGCTAAATGACCATTCGGAGATGTATCAGCAAAAGATCGTGGTGCATTATTTTCAGCTTTAGTTGTTTGTTGATAACTAAGTCCACTAGGTTCTTCATCGTCTATATCATATTGATCTTGGTCAATAAGAGATGTATAAGCTGGTGTTGGACCAATTAACCAATATGTTTCACTTGTACCTTTACCCTACAATACTATTTGAATATACATAATAATAAAAAAATTTTATTACTTTTAATTCTGTTTTTCCTCTGTGTTGTGTTTCAAAATATTGTGAATCTCTTAAAAGTGCATATGACGTATCACTTATATGAACTCGACCTGGCTGTAAAATATTTAAAAAACATCAACATTTTTCTTTACATTTCTAATATTATCTTACCTCTCCTGTTGTTGTTATTCGACTAGCCTGAAATAGTGAAAAGCAAACTTAAACGTTTTCTACTTAATTATACATCTCAATATCTTACCGTATTAATTGTGTCACCAAATAAACAATACTGGTAATTTTTTGCACCAACTATTCCACCAACAGCTGGACCCGAATGAAAACCTATTCAATTTTTAAGATATATAAAACAAAAAACAGGAAGAAAATTTTTTTTACCAAATTTAACTCGAAATGGTTGTTTTGTAACCGGATTTATAACTCGTTTAGAACTTTTTACTAATTCTAGTGCAAGACCGCAAACAATTTCTGCATGATTAAGACCTAATGGATTTTTCATCTCGTTGGCTAAATCATCTGCTATCGAAAGACTATACGTTGTTGACTGACTCTAGTAAAAGATAAAACAGGAAATATGTTAAAATTGATTTCCTATAATAAAAAAATGTCTACGGTAGTAGATTCACGTCGGTGTGGTTGTATGGATCGATCTTGTATACCGGCAACAGCCATATAAGATGAATCAGCTTTTGTTTCAACTTTAAATACATCAAAATGTTCAGAACATTGATCAAATGCATTAACTGTCGCATTAATTGATTCAACAATTTGTTGTGGATCTAATTTTTGTATAACATCTTTAAAATCAATTGAATATGCAAATAGAACGGTTAATAATTTATGAGACTAAAATAAAATTTTAGAAAATTATTCATAATTTATTATTCATTTTTTTCTATTACTTCACATATTGAATTAGCTAAAACACCTTCTTGTAACATTTGTGCAATATGTCTTGGCATCATAGAATATAAAAGACGTCGACCTTTACTACGCCATTCTTGTAATTCTAATTTTGAACTTTGTAATTTTGTTATCCATGCATGTTGTTTATCAATAGCAGCTTGTAATGATCGAGCATGTTGCATTCCAGCAATAAGTATTTCACTACTACCATCATAAAAATTTAAATCATGTAAAAATAAACCAACAGACAACATTTCTTCTGTTGTTGTTAATCTAAATTTTGCGAAAATAGATTTTTATAGATGTATTATATTAAAATTAAAAACATACACTGGATGACAAAGAAAAACTATCATATTCCAAGCTTCCATTAATTTCATTTGTCCTTTAAGACGTATTTGAGGATTACCTGAACCACTTTTTTTCATATTCTTTGATTGACTTGGACGAAGAGGAATTCTACTTTCGATAACAAATACAATATGTCGACCATATGAAAGTACCTGAGAAAATGAATTTTTTTTTCATAATATAAATAAAATATCGAAGACAAACTCTGTTCCATTCAAGTAATATATCTGGTCGAATAAGACGAAATACATCTTCTAAATGACGACCAATTAATAATGTATCAGATGGAAAAACATTTTTTATTGAATGTCCCAAATGACATATTCGCATTTGTGGATCAAGTAAAATGCCAAATGGAAATACCTAGAATAAAAAATTTCATTCTATTATATAATAAATTTAAAAATAACTCTTCTGTCATGTTAAAGAACTCTTATCGTCATAACATGCATACATATTCCTGTTTATGAATAACCTCCCACAGATATACAAATGGAATATATATAGTTATTTTTACTTTAAAAAATGTAGTACTCGTCACATCAGGTAATTTTGGACCTTGCATTAAACGTCTTTCCATTGAACGTGCCATAAAATTATTGAAATCCACACGAAAAATAATATGAGTATCTAAAATAATAATAAAATTTGTTTGGGTTTTATGTTAAATACAAAAAAAACAAGTTTTTTACATTCATTTGATGAGATATCATCTTGAATACGAACAAATATATCTTCTTTAAAAAATCTTGTTGAGCATTCTTTTAATTGTCCAACAATATATCGTTGAAAACCTCGACGTTTTGATCTAAGTAAGAAAAAAACAATCAATTATTTTATTTCAATATATTTTTCTTAAATTACTTATAATGTAGAATGGCACCATTATCATCTTCGTCTGTAACATGAAATAATGGTGATTTCATTTTTGGAAAACTAAATCTAGTTGAATCGTGTAATTGATCAATTGAATGAAGAAAATCTCGAAAATGTCGTCCAGCAACACGTAATATTTTATCATAACCATAATTTGTAAAAAATTTTACAAAACATTCACCAAAAAATTGCATATATAAATCAGGGCCGCCTTCATGTAAAATTTCTGCTAAACCTAAATAGAAATGTTGTTTTATAGAATACTTCTATTGACATATAATATCTTACATTCTGCAATTTTCTCAATTAATGTTTCATCATAACGACCAAGTGTCGTAAATGATTCATGTTCAAAATTTAACTCCTGTACTATTCTTTTCCATATTGCTTGTCCATATACTTCACAAACACCATATCGAGCACTTTCAAGTAAAATTCCGTAGATCATCTTTGATTCTAATTTTATGATTTTTCTGCATATTTATATATTAGAGTGCTAGCGGATGTACATTCTATGATCCTAATGATATTTCCTCTCTTTCAATACACATGAACAGGTAATTCATTCTTGTTTTTTTGACCTACTTGAAAGTTCCTATTTAGGAAAAACAGAGTAAGAGGACTCAGATGACCTTGTACAGAGAATAACGTTCAAAAGAAAAAATCAATTCATACCTTCAGCAATTGCAATCATAAGTCTATCTTCATAAAGATCGAAAAGATTCAAATTAGATAAAGAGAATTGCACATATTCTTCAACTTGGTGTAAAAGAATCTTATCATATTTTTCCAAAATAAATAAATCAACTATACTCTGTAGTAAAATACCATAAACCATGATTTAATAAAGTTGTTATTTTTTTTTTCCTTATTATTTATAGGCAAGAATGTAATATATAGAAGAGAAAATTAATTAAATTTTCTTTTCTGTCATAAAGCGGATTGTCCCTTGGAGACAACTTCTCATCTTTCTTTAACAGTGTCATGTGAAGATTCTGAAATGACATGATGTATATGCGTTCAAATAAGAACTTTATTTATATAATAGAAAGTATAGAATCAAAGAAATCTATCGATATAATTATATTGAAAGTGTAGAAAAAAAGAAAAATTAGTTCTTTTTTTTTTGAAATGATTTGTTTCTTTCAATATTCATTTTTGTTTTTGTTTTTAAATAAAATGCCATTCAACATTAGCTTGTCCAGTACCAAGTTCACCGTTAATAGCAAGAAAAGCTTCTTCATTTAAAGCAAGATCACCTGGGAATGAAAAAAAATATTTTAATGAAATAAATAAAAATTTTATTTTATTGTATACCTTCACGACATTGTGGACATCGATCAACAAATCGAACAACGATTTCACCTTGGGGACCTCGTACTAAAGCTTTCTTTTGACAAATTGGATTGTTACTTGGAATACCATCAACAGTGTATGGATCAAATTGTGCTTGATTGAGAGCAGCAATATAAATTTTTTGATCTTCTTCATCTAATGAACGTGCACGTTCAATACCACATGTTGAATAATCTGAACCAACTTGAGTTTCATTATAATATGTTGCTTGACCTTGAAATTCACCTTCAATTGGAGCTGGTTTACTTTCAGTTAATGATTTTTGTAATGCACAATAACCAGCACCTGAACCACAACTATATAGATATACTAAAACTGTATTATGCACTTTAAAGATATTAATAACATACTATCCATATCGTGTACAACAAAGTCCACTACCACATGCTGTATAACCACAGTTACCGTAAGCTACAACACCGCAGTGAGAAGCTGAATTTCCACAACTATAGATAATAAAAGAATCTCTTAGAATAACATTTTTTCTCTATTCAAAATTTTCCTACTATCCATATTGTGAGCAACATGTCCCAGCTGGACAACCAGTTACTCGGCAATTAGCAACAGTTGGAGCAGGTGCAATAGCACCACCACAATATGCAGCTGTAGCACCACAACTAGTTTATTAGAAATGATTCTTTTAAAGAATTTATTTGAGAAATATATAGTACTTACTAGCCATATGGTGAACAACAATAACCTGCTTGACAACCTACTATACGACAATCACGGTTAGGATAGACAGCAGCGGTTACAGCACCACAAAATCCTGTGCCTGTTCCACAAAAACCAAATGCAGAACAACAGAGACCAGCTCCACATCGATTTCCAACCAAACAATTTCCAGCTAGGTAACAAGAAACAATTATATCATCATCATCGATAACTTGTTTCTATAAAACTTACCAACACTGCTCACAAGTGAGAATACTAATAAACTAACAGCAATCATGATAGTGTTTAGTCTATGTTGTGTTTGAATGTAAAATGAAAATGTTATTTAATAATATAAAGATACACGCCGTTTTAACCATTTCTTATGCTCACACAGAACTCTATAATCTATAGACAAATATTCGTGTATTAACACGTATAGGAAAAGAACATAATCAGTGTCCTTGACGTCTGCTTATTGTCTGACATTTTTTGTTTTAGACAAAAATTTAAGAGAATATTATCGAAGGTTAACATGTATATTGTACAAGTTCGAACCTGACTTTTTTAGTATTTAAATTAGAATCTAACTTCTTATAATCATAGAAGAAAAACAACAAAAACGTGAATAGATTATATCAAACGATGTGTCTAATCCAAGTTACATTGTAAGACTTACAATTTTATTCATGATATAGATAAGACTTGTTACTTTATTATTCGATCAAAAGTTATTGAGTGTGATTCAATTATCAATCAGTTCATTTTCATCTCATTAGATAGAAAAATCATGAATTTTAATATGTATATGTATAAACAAAAACAAAAATGATATAATCTTTTCTTTTATTATTATTCATTATCACATAAACAATCTTCGATATCATCTAATGAAAAAGCTGAATCTTGTATTGATGAATACAATGCTTTAAGTAATTGTTCACTTTTTGGTCCAGCTAAGAAAACTCCACGTTGTATACCTGCTGCATCATAACATTTTAATGGTGCCCATTGAAGAAGACGTCTTTAAATAGATAAAAAAAACATTGTTCTTTTTATAAATAAAATATGTTACTAATTAAAAAAACATACGTAATAGCTCGACATTCAGGACAATTATCTGAACGTGATGTAAATGTATTAGTAGCTGTTGTTTGAAGTGGTGGAATACTTGAAGATAAAGTATCATTTTGAGTTGAATTGTTAAGTAAAGAATTCGGTGACATTAGTGATGTTGGTTGTTGTTGCTGTTGTATATTTGCTGATACTGGAACTTGTTGAAATGATAAAGATTGATCATTTAATGGATGAGAATGATGTAATGAAGATGTAATTGGAGGTGGAGGTAAAGGTATAGTTGGAGCAAATGTTGGAATAATATTAGTTGTCGTAGAAGGAACTGACGAAAACATAGGTTGAATATTAGGTTGTTGCGAAGATGATTGATTTGTGACTGATGTTGAACCCATCTGCTTAGAAGGAGATAATGGTGTTGTTGTTGTTGAAACTGGACGTGAAGGTATCTGACGATCACTACAAGAAAATATTTATCAAAATTTATCTACAAAATAGAAAAAAGTTTTTAACTAGTTGAAATGAAATAAGGAAAAATTGTATTAATATTCTTACAAATATTGTCGATCAGTTGATCGACGTTCTATAAATAATCTATTAATAATCATTTATTCAAAAAAAACAATCTTTGATTTACTATTTGAACTTCCTCGACGACTTCGACTGTGACCTAATGAATGAATTATATAAATTTTGAATAATATTTTTTTATAACTTTCTCACGTTGACTTGAACGAGACCGGCGACTTCCTCTTTCACTTGATCGGCTTTCTATGAATTGTATTATTTTATGGTAAGAATTACCTAGAAATAACCCACTTACTACGTCCTCGACTATGAGCTCGTTGATGTTCTCGTCTTGAACTGCGAGACGATCGACGACTTGAACGTAAGCTACGATCATGTGATTGACTCGCTAAGAATAAAATTATAGCACGTCAAATGTGTACTTCATTCTATTTCTATATTACTTCGTCCACGACTTGAACGTCGACTTTGTCGAGATAGACGAGATCCTCTCGATCTACTGCGACTTGCTATAATTTAAATAGATGGAAGAATACAACAATAAAAAGAAAATATGTCGATTAATACATTTTGAACGACGGTCATGACTTTTCGACATTCTTCTTTGATGTTTCTTTGTGTGTTTATGATGTAGAAAGTCTATCATAATTGAAAAAGACAAAAAAATATTTTTCTTTTATACGTAAACAATTGAATAATTGATTATATTTTGATACTAAATAACTCACGTTTATGATAATTATGTTCTTTTCGATATTGTCTTTCTCTTTTACCAAAATCATTTTCATGTAACACTATCGGATGATATAAGACACATCCACCATAGGACTGTTGAAAATGTGGTGGTACGATTGATACCGAATCTTTATATATATTTTCATCATAATTATTCAAATGAGGTGTGATAAAAGTTTTCATTTTTTTTCGATTAAATTGATTTCTATCTAAATGTGGTGTTTGTTCACACATGCCTGTTTGATTAATATGGTTAATGAGTTGAGAAAGATGACATAGAGTTTGAACAAGATTTTCACTGTCATCAATCGACATAGGACTCTGTTGTTGACTTGATAAATCAATTGCTCTATAAAGTTCTTCCAATAAATGCAAAGCTGATTCTGCTGTATATTGAATCGACATAATTCGAAATAATCAAAATAAAGAAAAAGAACACTAATCGACGTATTGTAATGAAAAGAAGAAAAAAAAAACCTTTTTTTTGTATTACTATTATTTTTATTTCGACTAAATTTTAGTATGAGGCGCCAATCAAGCACGGGATCTTTTGTTTAGTGTTTCCTAATATTATTTACATTGTAACTTAGTTCAAAAAAACAATATTAATGACAAAACAATAATATCATACTATCAACACCAATACTAAAGGCTTAATGCAATAGTAGTAGATAAGTGAATAATAATAATCGCATTGTTTTTCTTTTAGTTTCAAAAAAAACTTTCACATGTCGAAAAAAATAACTTTTTATATTGAATGATTTCTATTGCAAAAGTGATTATTAGGATTTAGGATTGTACATTATTTTGCTGATTTTTTTGTAATGAGAAAAACAATATGTTACTATCGCAGTCAGTATTCTTCAACAGTAGGACGTTTTGTTGACATAGAGTAGCTTCGAATATATAGGCCTCACAAGATATATCTATATCTGTCCTATTATCTCTTATTTTCTTTCTGTTTGTTTCTCTCGTATTTTCCTTGTATTAATAATCGTACATATTCTTAATACCTCGATTCTATCTATGATTGATTCGATATGAAAATGGCACGTATAAAAGATAACAAGTTTAATTATTCATTATGAAACAAAAGTATCTAAACATATTATTCATTGGCTAAGTACAAATCATCCACTAAATTTGTTAATAGTTCTCCGCCAATTATGCGCAAAACCTTTATTCCATCATCATCATCATCTCGATCTTATTCTAGGCTTAATGATCTTTCACCAAATGTATATGCTATTACAATTATCATCTTTTTTGCTACATGGATATTTAAAAGAACAACGTATGTAAATAAATCTTTATACTAAAGTCCATTTAGGTTCAATTTCATATATATAACATGTGACGCATTCTATTTATCTTTCTTGAACAAAAAATAAGAATATGATTTCGATTGAATCTATATTGATTTTTTGCTAACTAAACAAGCAAATCACATTGTATTTGTTTGTTTACTTTTAATTATACTTCGTTCATAAAATATTTCTTATTTATTTTTTACATACATGTAACCTTAGAGAGTATTCAAACAAAAAAAAAGAAGTTCGACATAGGTACATTAAATAATAAATTATTATCATTACCATTAATCAAAATATATTTTATTATTATTACACATATATATAATTCGCTATCAATTACGATCAAGATGACGTATATTTTATGGTTGATCGATTTTTTTCTTCATCAGTATATAGGTTCTTGATTGATATTCAGTAGAGACATTTCGAAGTGATTTTAACATTTATTTGATCAAAATATTTTTTTGTTTTGGAAAAGCAAATCATGATATCGATCGATAGTAACAATGTTAATACGAAGAAAAAGTAGGTTCAACAATAATTTGTTATTATTAAAGACATTATTCTCTATATCGTGACAACAGAAAACAATTTAGTTTATTAAATTATGTTCTGGTAGAAACGCCCTTAACGTACCTTTATTTTGTTTTTCCTTTTGAAAAGTACATTGTTCACCAGACTAGATTTATACGATGAATCAAATGATTACTAGCCTATATATAAAATATTCCCTACTATCTGTCTCATTCTATGTGTACATGTGTCGATTCTTTATTTTTTCTTTCAAATGTTATTGTATAGGTACGCAAATAGTAGAAATAGTATTCTCTTTTCTTTCTTCTTCTAAATTTTGTTCGACAAAAGATGATATATATAGATATATAGATACATAATGTATGAAAGTAATTCTTTACTTTGACATATTTATGTTCATAGATGAATAATGAAAGACAACTTGTGATAGTTTATCATACAGGTAAATAAATAAATTTCATAGGAATTAGATTTAAATAAATGAGATAAAGAAGAAAATCTGACGTCAGTATCTTATTAGATAAGATGAATATATAATTGAGACCGATAAGATGATTGGAATATATGATGAAAAGACTATTGAAGTAGAAATATAAAACGACGTCATGATTATCATTCTTTTTTAATGCGTGAATGAATAAAAGTAAAGTAATGTCTTATTCATTCTTCGAGATTGCTGTTCATTATATGTGAAATAATGGCATTCCACGAGAATACCTTTTTCTTTTCTCTTTTTTTTTCCATTTACTCTCTTGTTCTCGTAACTCACGTCATGACTTTCCTCTAATACGAAACAACAACAATAACAATTAGAAGAACAAAGGTATTTTTAAACTATTGTATAAAAACATTGCTTGACGAACATTTTACCTCTGTGTTTTCTTTCAATTTCACCTCTTAGATTGTTTCTTCTTGTTCGACACTTTAAACGACACGATCTTTTTCCTTTCTTTTTTCTTTTAAGAGAAGTGCTAGAATCTATGAGTTCATTAGAAAAACATACAAAAGAAAAGCTTTTCTCGACAACCGATGTGTATATACACTAGATTGATGGAAATATGAAAAAAAAGAAAAAAAAGCAGAATAAAAGCTTAAGTATTTAGTTGATGTTTAGTCTATGAAAAAAGGTCGAGAGAATTCTATTTTGAGAATATTAGAAAATGAGTATTTCTCGCTATATTTAGTCAAATCTAATGCAATGATAAGCGTAGGATAATACATTTATCATAAAACGAAAATATTCTTTTAATAGATGCTATTCATAAAAATTTGTTACACACAAAATAATAATAGATTTTCTCTTAAAAAGAAATTTACGTCGTCTAATATTTGACTCTATTCATTCAAATAGACAATTTTTCAGTTGTCATACTTCTACTTTCTAAAAAAATTATTTTCAAGATTTCTAATTTTCTTTTGTAATTATTTTAGTGTAACGTATTTTATACGTAAAATCATTAATATGGCATCAGTTCGTTCCGTTGGTACAACAAAGCCAACAGAAACTTTATTATCACGACGTTTAAATCGTCCATCACCATCGACTACAACTATTACTCCAAGAAAATTAACATTAAGTAAAACAACTTCAATTCCATCTTCAACAACAGTATCACCAACTCGACAAAAACCTTCTCGAACGTATGCAAAAAAAAATTCAGTAGGAACAATAATATCACCTGCTCGAATTAAATCATCAGATAGTGCTGAATTTATGACAGATAAAATGTCATCAACTACAATTTATGATCTACCTTCAATTAAAGCAAGTACAAAAATATCTAATATTACAAATATTTCTATTCCAAAAACTAATTCACAAACAACTAAATATATTGAAGAACGAAATAATAACATAGCATTGACATCATCATCATCATTATCAATAAAATCTTCTCTAAGTAACAATCAATTTACATTACAAGCATTTGATACTATTCGTACAGTTGGCACTGGTATGAATATTGTTTTAAAATAAATTATTTGATTTTACTTCTTCTTTTCTTTATAGGGACATTCGGTCGTGTTCATGTTGTACATCATCGTGATACAAATACATATTATGCATTAAAAACTATGTCTATAAAACGTATAATTGAATCGAAACAAATTGAACATGTACAAAATGAAAAAAATATTTTATTGAAAATTAATCATCCATTTCTTGTACGTTTATATTGGACAACACATTCAAATAATTTACTTTATCTTTTACTTGAATATTTACCCGGTGGTGAACTTTTTCAAATGATGCGTAAACGAGAAAAATTTGATTCGAAAATAGCAGTATTTTATGCAAGTGAAGTTTTACTTGGACTTGATTATTTACATCATCTAGATATACTTTATCGAGATTTAAAACCAGTAAGATATATCTACTACAAATAAGTATTTCCTTTTTTTTTCCTATTGTAGGAAAATATTTTATTGGATAAAGAAGGTCATGTACGTTTAGTTGATTTTGGTTTTGCAAAAGAAACTAAAGAAAGAACATTTACGCTCTGTGGTACTGTTGATTATCTTGCTCCAGGTTGAGATAGAAATAACATCATTTTCTTATCTTATATTAAATATTTTATTATATATATATTCTAGAAGTCATACAAAATCGTGGTCATCATAAAGCATCCGATTGGTGGGCATTTGGTGTTCTTATATATGAAATGCTTGCTGGTAATTAATTAGAATGCCTAAGGAAAAAAAGAAAAGAATATATTTTTTTTTAATTTCTGTTTTTTTTCTATCTTTAGGCTATCCACCATTTTATGATACTGATCAATTTATTGCATATCGAAAAATTCTTTCTGGTAAAATCGATTTTCCACGTCATTTCGATTATGCTGCTAAACAATTACTTCGTAAATTACTTCAAACTGATCAATCTCAAAGACTTGGTTCAGCAAAAAATGGTGGTAATGAAATACAACTTGAACAATGGTTTGTTAGTGTATCATGGGCAGATGTCCTTGAACGTAAAATGACTCCACCAATTGTACCAACAGTTACATCAGCTGGTGATACAGATAATTTTGATATATATGATGAATTTGATATAAATTTAACACCACAAGCAGCAAAATATGAAGTTCAAATATTTAAGGATTTCTAAAAGAAAACAATAGATTTTATTTTTTTATTTATACAGATGTTTCATTATTTGTTGTGAATCTCTTCTTCATTTTCTTTCTTCTTCTTCTTCTGTCAATTGTACACTAAATTAATTTGTGTTACCGACAATATGTAAGCAAAGCAATTTAGAAATATTTTTTTTCTTTCCGATTTATATTAACAAATGCAAATTTAAAACGAGACAATTTTTTTTATTAATAATATAAGATAGACAATTTCATATTTATTTTCTTTATACTATTAAGTATTTTCTTATGAAAATAGGCTTTTGCATTATTGTTGATGGAGAATTCCTTCCGATTCTTAGCGTTTATAATTGCTGTTTATCTTTGGAATGTTAGGCATGGATGATAATTTTCATTCTGACAGAAATAGTCTTGTTTTGATGAAGAATTCTTTTCTATAGAAAATATTGCTTTTAGAAATTACTTTTTTCGGTCAAGTATTAGAGTACATAATTATCATAGGTTAAAGAAAAAGAACAGATGAATATAATTAGAAATAATAGTCATATCAAATATATTGTTTCTTAAAACAATTAGATCAACTAATTGATTCCTACGAAAAGTCTCACATAGATTTGTATTGAAAATAAGATGGTTGAGGAATACTTTGAATGTATAATAGAATGTGTATGTTCGATATGATAAAGCTGTTATTATTTCTTTTTCTAAATAAAAATACCAATAATATTTGCTAAACTATTTTTGAATTGAAATATAACTGATTTATAAAAGTAATAAACATGCTGTGATTGACAAAAGAATCAAAAGATTTCAATACAAATTTGAGAGAAGGGATTATCAATATATATTAAAGTATTAATGCAAATGTATGGACGAAAAACAACTGTGTACCAACAACAATAAACTTTTTTTTTTAATTAGGATAAGTAGACTTCTAATATTGATTCATTCTTTTCATAATCGAAACTATGCAAAAATCTTCTAAAGCATTTATAAACATAATGCGAATATCATTTCTCTTCGTACGATATCAAATATTACGCTTGTATAATGACTTATCTTTTCGAATTGCTTGTAGTAATTATATTAAAGACATTTGATTATATTAGATGGAGAGAATCGGTGATTTTATTCCAAAAAACACGAGTATATATAGGTGGAATAGATAAAGAGGAGGATTTGCCGAGAAGTTTCTTCTCTTTATTAAGTTCAGGAAGAAAGATTGACAATGGATCGAGGTCCAAAAAAGTGACACAGATACATAAGTACTTGAAGTACGAAAGAGAAGCAAAATATAACTATGTAACATTACTGATATTCTTTTTAAAAGTTTTCCAAGTTACAAAAAAAAACTCATCAGTAAATACTTCAATAAAATGACACGAAATTATAAGCATTTAGGAAGATTATTTCAAATGTCTAAAGCATGATGACTGGTATTTCAAATGATTATTATTAACGGAAACGTCAGTGGTAGGAGTAAATCTTTCAAACGTCAGTTATAGTACTTGAAAAGTTTTTAAAATTTATTCACTAATCAGCTTACATCTTTATTCTTCTATTGTATATAATACGGAAAATCATTTATTTTTTCACGTGTGCCAGATTATATTAAAAATAAAACTTAAGATATTTTCTGAAATGTTAAAGTATGAATAGAAATACTAAAAAAGTTGAAAATTTATTATTTGTTATTTTTATCATCATTTCAAAAATATTTAATAAAAAAGTATGTCAATCAATTCGAGTAAATACATACGAAATGATTATTATTCTATGAGAAAGAAAAAGCGTTTCTATCAAAAAAGATTGTTTTTATTTTTACTGATGTCTTTTGAAACACATCTAAACATCATTTTTTTTGGATTGACAGAAAAAAAAAGAAAAGAAATTTGAGATTTAAACACACACACACACACATCGATGTAACAATTTCAAACAAATATTTTTTTTCATGGACTGTCTTTGCCTTGTATAAATGCATTTGATATTGTTTTTTTCTTCGTAAATCGTTTTTTCTTTTCCCATTCAATTGTATCTAATTGAAGTTTAGTGAGATGTGATAATTTATTTAATAAATCTTGAGGACAATTAGTAAATGGATCCGCATATTCATAATTTTCTATAAAAAATAGAAATTAATAAAAATCTTCTTCTTATTTTTTTATAAATTACCTCGAGAATGTGTTAATTTTTCTAAATGAATCCGTGATCGTGCATTTTGATGCAGATTTCTATTCGTCTGTTGTGATGATACATATGCTGTTGCCATTGATTGTTGTTTTGTTGGACGAATTGTCGAAGATAGATTGGATTTAAATCGTTCAGCTGTTATTAATAAACTATTAGATGAGGGTGGTTCAACTATTGTTCTTTGTCGAAGAGTATTTCCATTTGCTGCTGTACTTCGATAAGTAAATACAGATGAATTTGCTTGAAGATGACTACTAGTACTCATTGTCATTTGATTCGAAGGAATCGATATATCACCTGTAGGTGGAACAATTATTGGAGAATCATGATGAACTATTCGACGTTCTACAATATGATAAATAATGGACATACATACACGTGAAATTTACAAATCAATACTATATGGTAAGAAAAAAGAAAAGATAAAGAAAAAGAGAGTTCTCTTTATTTTTTTTTATTGCTGTTTGCCTGACTTCTCGACAGTCTGTGTACGTTTTATTTCTCAACATTTAACATTGTCAGTTTTTCTTCTTACTCGATTGCATTCGGGTTGCCTCGTCAAATCATTCTCTTTTCTAACCATTACCACTCAATGTATTCTTTATTCTCTTTCTCTCTTTCTCTCAAAACTACATATGTTAAAAAATATAATTAAAATATTTAAATAAATCGTATAAAAAGAACAAGAAAAATCATTCTAATCCTATATAGATTTTTTAATTAAAATTTACTTTGCCCTTCTATCTTTAATATTGGACTTAATCTTATTGGTGATGAAGATTGTGGAATTTTACAAGACATATTTGTATTCGTCGTTGATAAAGATGAATGTTTACTTGACATTTGTGAATTCGATATTGAACCATTACTAGCTTCTATATATTTAATAGAAATTAAATGGAAGGGTTTTTTTCTTCTTTTTCTTACGTTCTTTGGATAATTTAAAAATCATTACACTATCATTAATATAATTTAAACGTTGGGTATGTTTATTATTTGTTGAATTAACAAGTGTTTTGAATGATGAAACATAACGTTTTGGTGGTACAAGTAGTTCCGGTACATCTAAATGCATATATGTATATTAAATAGTATTATATAAATATCTATACTTTATTATACCTTGTCGTGTAATACGAATTGCTGATGTAGATGATGAAAGAACAAATGAATTAACAAGTTTTTCATCGAAAAATTGATTTCGTGATAATAAATGTCGATCATGTTTTTTAATATGAGATATTGATCGACGTTGAGGATCGGTTGGTGAAATTCTATTAAAATAAAAAAAAGAAGTAAGATATTATATAATAATCTATACAATTAAGAATGTAAACACTTTAAAATTTCTTTTACTGATGAATTTTGCAAGAATAGATTTCAATTCAATGAATGAAATAGGAACTTGATCAATCCATTAAATTATAATAATTATTCATGTCTGCAGATATTCGTATCATATTTAATCAGTAGAGAAGAAAAAGCATCTTTGTTATTGTATATGATCCTTCGCGTTGTTATGCACTTTATTAAAGTAGACACTGTATTTTATTCTATCAAAAGAACTATTTCAAACACTTATCAATAGAAAATACGAGAGAGAGAGAGAGAGAGAGAGAGAGAATGAAAAAATGATCTAGTATCAATAGCAAGTTTTTGATGCTTTAGGTAAAAAGAATTTTCTTGTTTGTTCGATTAATTAAAGTTATAAATTGAACATATAATATGAATAAATACGTTACATGTAGATATATTTTTATAAAAGGAACAGGTGATTTTGTTTTCCTAGTATTTGATTACTTAATTAAGCAAGAACAGAATGGTTGATAGAATCTATTCTTTTCTAATATTTTTGTTTTTAATATGATACTTTAGTTTTGATAGAAGGAAAAAACTATATTGATTCGAAAGAAATACTTGTATTGGAAATAAAATCATATATTTCGCTATGTTGAATAATCCTATAATTAAATACTGATAATAATTTGATCGGAATTTTATGTTTTTAATCGCTTCATAACACTTCTGATTTTTTATAATACATAACTTTCTAGAGATAAAAATAGTTCATCTACATCTTTCAGATGGCGCTGGTTTCTAGTGCAATTCAAAGAAGATACTTTTAAACTTTATTGATTAATAATTAATAATAGAATCTTTATCGATATTATTACATCTTTTCAATTCATATAATAAAATATATCATATTCTTTTCTATTTGGATGGAAAAATAATCCAATCAGAATCAACTTCATAAGTTTGTCTATTCAACCACTTTTCGATTCGTTCTTTTTTTCGTATTCATTATATTTAGTATTTATATTTAGTGGGTACGTGTGTGTCTTATTAAATATTATTTTAACTATGACATCTGAAAATTCTACTCCACCTGCCACAGAAGAAATTCGTTTACTTCTTATCGGTCCGCCTAAAACTGGTCAATCGTCTATTGCAAATATTCTTGCTGGTTCAAATGTTTTTCCTGTTGGCGCATCAAGTTCAGTTGATTCTGCAACACCAACAACGCAATCAAGACATTTTACTAATAAAAAAATTCTTGTTGGCAAACATTTACTTATTGTAGATGCTCCTGTATGTTTTTACAAATTAAAAAATAACAAAAAATATATAAGATATTTTCTATTCTAGCCTTTATTTATATTAAAAGATTCAACATCAAATGAACAAGATATGAGACGACTTGCTAAATGTGTGGCACTCGTTAGTCCCGGTCCACATGCAATTTTTCTTATACTAAGTTGCGACGATGCAAAAAATGAACGATTTGATATGAAACAAATTGTAACGACTGTATTTGGTAAGGAATAAGTCTTTAGTTTATAAATAGTCATTACACATTCTTATAAAAATTCAGTTTTTGAAAATCTATCATTCAGCTTTATTAAACTTGTTTTTCAAGCACTATCGTTAATGTCAATAGAGAAGTGTAACTATCAATAGTTCCGTTTAGAGTTGTTCGCTAAGATTAAAAAGTTTGACTTACAGATATACATGTCGACTAAAATTGTATCATATTACTCATAAGGAACGTGTCTGACATATATGTAATTACGAACGATCCACAGAAAATTATATTGAAGTTTTCGAATAGCGCTGTTAAACGATAATGTCTTATTCCAATGTAACTTCTTTCCAGATATGCTTATTCGAGTTTATTTTAGTTGATATATTTACTGAGCTTTCTAATTTTAGAAGAAAGAGAAAAAAAACTGAATTAATTATATGCACGTGATTAAAACTATTACCATATTCTATTTTAGGTGCCGAAGCCTTAGATCAATCGATAGTTGTTTTTTCATTTATTGATCGTCTGCAACGAAAAGGAATTTCAGTTGATGATTGGATAAATAAAGAATGTAAACAACAAGCATTACTCGAAGCATGTGGTCATCGTTATTTAGTTATTGATTCATCACACAATGATCAAAATAAACATATAGAATTTCTCAATCGTTCATTAGCAATGTTAAATGAATTATGGAAACGTGAACGAATATTTAAATCGAAAATGTTTGACGACATTGAACAAGAAATTCAACGACAAGAAAAAAATCGTTGGGATTTATTTCAAAAGAAATATGCGAATAATTTTCATGGTTCAGAAAAATCATTTCGTTTACTTTTACGTGAACATATGCGTGATGAATTAGAAAGAGAACCTATTATAGCTGAAGCTGATTATCTTGTTGTTGAAAAATATTTACAACCTATCATTAAATCATTATTACAAGAAGTTGCACGTTATCTTGAAGAAGAAATTGCTAGTACTTAAATCGAACAATATTTATACAAAAAAAAAAATAAACATAAATTTTATCCTTGCAATTACATTTTTCTTTTTGTTCTTTTTTTGTTTCATTTGTCAATGTATAACAGTAAATCTCAATAGATTCGATCGATCGAACTGCTTTTGTTTTATTTTATGAAACCTATCCGAGCAAGAAATATGGATGTTGAGTATTTTTATAGAAGATTCTTAAGTGTATTTATCTAATTAGCATATGAGGTTTATTCTTCCCAAAAAAGAAATCTATTCAATAGTGACTATAAACTAAATCATATAGATAACTTACATAGCCGATGAACTGAAGAAAACATTCGTAGTAGCAATTGTCATTGTTTATAATAATCGTTGTGACGATTTCTATTCGTTTATTATTATTCGTAGCAGTCAATACGTATAATTAAAAAATAACAATCATACACTTTGACACTATTCGTGATTAAAATAATAGATGAAAAGACGATGAAATATATACAGTTGAAAGAAAAAGTAAAAATGAATATATATATATTTTTTCATAAAGAATATGCTTGTTAAGAAGAAGAAAAAAGAAATAAAAAAGTATAGAGTATGATTGTCGTTGTTATTGACATGTAGACATAATTTTATTTCATTTAAAAGGTCTCTTTTAAATCGATTTTTGTAGATTTATCAAACATCATGAGTCGACTTTGGAAAATCGGCTCAATCTTTTCTCGTGTATCAGGTATGATCGAAGGTGGACATTTAAAAACTACAGATATACCTATTTGGTATTCGATTTATAAACGTTTTCCACCAATACGTGAACCAAGATATTTATCTTTAACTGAAGGTGATATACCAAAAGCTTACAATCCACCTAAATTATTATATAATGAAGATATAATAAGACAAGCTTATTATGAAGATGTTGATGATGGTGAAATAATAAAATTGAAGAATAATGATAGAAAATCACGTTCACAAGTATTTATTGATGAATATTTTAAATTAAAATCAAAACAAACAACGCCTACTTCGCACACAAAATTATTTCGATTAACCTTAGAATATTTACAACAACATGGACATCCAATTATGTTTAAAATAGGTATTAAAAATAAACTTATTTATTTATTTAAATAAAAATATTTATGCACTATTAAAATATCAATTTTCTTAAATTCAAGGTAGTGAAGACAAATATCCCGAAATCACATCGGAATCAAATGAAGCAACTAAATCAATTGATAAGAACAATGAACAAATACAAAATCTATCTGTCGATACATTTGAAACGGAATGGGAACGTAATCATAGCGAAGGTTATTTCCCATTAGGTAAAAATACATATCAATATCGTCGACTTCAACCTCATCGTGTTCAAACATCATTTGGTGAACAAGCTGTGAGTGATTCGGGTATTGCTCATCGTCGTACAGATGGTTATGTACATTCAACTGTACGTGGTGATGAAGTTAGACAAGTAGATAATACATATATGCCAGGTGAAAGTTTACAACCATTAACACCACCAACATTTATTCAACAAAATATGCTTCGACATGGCAAAGTACACAATGTATTTACACGTGAACAATATGAAAAAGATCCATTTTTAAATTTACAAGATCGAGTGAAAAAATTAGAATATTACAAACAACCACCACTACATAACAAAGTTTTTAAAAGAAAATTTAAAGCAAAGAAATTTCTTGTTGATATACCTGGAATTTACGATAAAAAATAGATTTCATTCAGATTTTGTCTTTTGTTGTTTTTTTCTTACAAAAAATACATATTATATCATAGGAATGATTGTTCTCATAATTTAGAAATTAATGTGTATATTAAAGATATTGACTATAATTTCGAAAGATTAATCAGATTGTATGCATTATACAAACAAAGAATGTACGGAAATCAGTAAAGAATTTTGTATCTATTAAAATTATAATCCGATCGATTTCAAATGATATGATTCATTTAATTTAGATATGAATTCACTTTTATCTATATTTTCTTCGAATACATCTATTTCTAATAATTGTCCATCATTATCGAATATAACTCAATTTGTTCATGATACTCAATCATTTCTTCTTCTTCTTTCTAATATTGAAGAAATCGGTTGGTCATCAGTTCGATTATCTTCTTCATCAGATAATTCAATTCTAACGCTTCATCATACATATATTGATTTAGGAGATCGTTCACATGATTTATATATTGATATATCACAACGTTGGCCAAATGAACGACCATGTTGTCGTACAAATCTTCCAGTTGAATTTACAATTGAAACCTGGTGTCCGAAAACAAGTCGTCTGATAGAAGTACTCAACAATTTTCATTCGCTTGTCGATAGTTTACAACCATTCTGGGCTCAATTAACTGAATTAGAACGAGATGCAATTGTCTTAGATACAAAACCTATATCATATTCATCAACAACACGACGACTTAAAATTAATGATAATGTACATATAGAAATTCAGGTTAGAATATCAAAATCTATAATTCAAATTTTAAATTTATATGCTTTAGATTGATCCATTTAATTCATCGGCTTTTCCTTCGATTACTTTTCATGGTCCATCTATGCTTATTCGAACATTCGATGAACGTCTCGAACAAAATCGTAGTCATTGGAATGAAGCACATTCAAATATAATATTAAATCTTGAACATATACTTGATATAACATTTCCAACGAATATTTTCTTTCAATCAAAATCTCAAGCGAAAGATACTCAACAACAAGAATGTGGCATATGTTATGAATCAACAATTGATCTAAAAGAAAAAACGATTTATTGTGAAACAATAAATTGTTATAAACAATATCATGAATCATGTTGGAAAAGTTGGTTAAGAAAAAAAGTTCCACAAAGAAATGCTTGTGATGTATTAGATATTGTTGTTGATGAACGAATAAATACAACAACAGCAAGTGGACCATGTCTTTTTTGTAAAAAAAATATTATTGTAAATTAGATTCATCAAGAAATAGATTTTTATAGAAACGATATCGAAATAGAAATTAAAATATTTGTTTTTATTGAATGAGAATGAATCTCAATTATACTATAAACCATAATATAGAGAACGATGGAAGTGTATGCTCAGTCGATTAGAATTGATTTAAATAGATTAATCAATTTTATTTGCTTGAACTTAAGTAACTAAACCAACATAGAATGCATAAGGTTAAAATAATATATAAAACAGTATATATTCTAATGAATTTCTATCTGAACAAATACAGTTATGTATCTCAGTGATTAACTTTGTTTTGTTATTCATGTTAACGCCTTTTTTAATCTGGTAATTATATTGAAATAAAGATATCATAACCATACATACTTAATTTTTTCTGCTACGTTAATACGCTCCACAAACTTTGTAAACTATTTTCATAAATAAATAATATATGACAGTATATTGACCTAGGAGAAAACATGTCTGTATAGGAAGTTCAGATGAAAATTATGTCAAGCAATCATCTGACGTAAAAAATGCATTCTTGCATAAATTCATCAAAATGGCAATGAGTATAAAGTTATAAGGCAACTGATCTATGAAGAATATAGCTTGAAGATATTCAGTACATGAATATAGATGTACACATTACAATGTTAATTATCAGTGCACTTTCCTAATAGACCATCGCAAAATATCATTTTGATAGTTACTATTTGAAATGTTGATTTTGTTCATGAATCTTGAAGTTATTCGAACTCTTAGTATCAATTCCAAATAAAAATTGCATTGATCACTATGGTAAGATAAAGAAACTACTCGATATAAAAAGAAACTGTTATTTAGACGTTCGTACAAAGCAGATGTCGCGCAATACTAATATGAATTTTTTTATATAAACCATAATAATCTAAAATAGATTCTAATGTCAAATAAAGATTATTATTGAAATTTCGATTGAATAATTTTCAACAATTGTTTTATTTAAAAACGTATCTGAATGGATGATATATTGATTAATAAAACAAACTAGTCTTACTATTCCTTTCCTTGAAGGAAAAAGAGAGAGACACAAGCACAATAAATAATAACTATAATCATATATAAGAACGACGTCAATGTCATTGTCGCTTTATTAATATTAACTGTTGCGCGAGAAAAGAAAAAGAAACAAAAAATGCTGCTCAAGTATTTCTTATTAATTTTTGTTAATATAGTCAAAATAGATGGGTAGTAACTTAACAGCAATACCATCTTCTGTTTCATTACCCATATTTGGGGTTGGTTTAACCACATTATGTTTAAGTTTATGTTTTTGTTGTTATTTATGGCGGTAAGTTTTCTATTTTTTCTATAATAAAAATAAAAACGAAAATAATTTATTGAAAAATATTCTTTATATAGATTAAGACGAGATACATTGAGAGAAAAAGGCTATCGAAAAGATCAATATATGCGATGTAAAGTTAAAAATTCTGTACGTGGTTTGATTTTATATTTCCATTCGATAAAAAGAAAAATCTCTAAACTATTTTTCTCTCTATATAGAATTGTGTTATTTGTTTGGATGATTTTTATGAAGATGAAGAAATAGCTGTATGTCCATGTGAACATGCATTTCACAAACGTTGTTTATCACCTTGGTTACAACATAATTGTACATGTCCTATGTGTAATATGTGTATTAAACCGGAAACATCTGGCTCATGTCAATTACCCGATATACTTTAAACTAGATAAATGAAAGTTATTCTCGTTTATTTTTTTTTTACAAATAATTTTGTCAGTTATGTATAATTAAAAACAAATCAAAATTTTTAAAAAGAAGAAAACAACGTCTGTTTATGTATACATCTATTATTATTATTATCGTATTTTAAATGTATATGTTATTTTCCGGTTTATTCTTTAATGTTTGTATATTGAAATACAGTGCTCAAAGTATTTTAATGACTAAAAACGAATGTTTATTTCATCAATAAGTTTCAATGATTAAATTGACATATGAAGAATTTTTTCGTTGAAATAAAGATGATTATAATTGCATGTTATTCATATTAGAATAAGAAATACTCAGAGATTTATACATATAGATATATTTTCTTTTTCTCTTTCAGTAACAATGAAGTATATTATCGTTTTTGATTACTTTTTAATCGGATTTAAAACATAAAATGATTATACTGATGCTTGAGACAGTATTTTGAAGAAAAATTCTAATTGTAAATATACTATTGTAAGAAGTAATAAGATTGTCATGACACATTCTCGTGACTAATCTATTAAATAATAATAATACAAGAAATTGACATTGAAATTAAATTTAATAAATAAAATTATTATCAAATGAGTCATCGAGAAGAATCATCTAGTATACAGGATACAAACAAGTGTCTTGAGAAAAGTTGATAAGATCATCGCCTTAAAATAGAAGTTATTGTCTTTTTCTCTTTGAAAAATATTTCATTGATAATCTACATAGAATAGATTTTAGACGTTGTCTTTTTCTTTTGTTAATCTTGGAGAGACGCAGATCGATATATTTTAATTATGTAGTAAATGAATTACTCAAACCATTGTTTTCTATTAGATCCTTGTAAAATGTTGTTTATTCTGTTTTATTGATAAATATCAAAACAGATGTTTATCCTTCATTCAGTTCTCGCGCATCGTTACTCTAGTATTAATAACGATTGTCTTGTATTCATTTTCTTGTCATTTATTCGATATAAATGTATTAAGATAGGTATTGTAACAAGTTCAAAGTGTAATAAGTTAAATAAATAAAAGTACACATCTTTTTTTCACAGACAAAATCATGAAAGAATAAAGCCAAAGAGTCTTTTCTAGATTAAAAGATGTCACTATTAATAACAGGACTGCATTCACTGATGATAGAGTGCAAAATATTTCTTTTAAAAGACTTTTTGATGATTGTCTATATACTTTATAAAGAACTAGACAGATGTATTTCATCAAATACATCTGTGAATAGCTTGAAATAGATTTTAATTATTCTAGACATAAATCATACTTCGAAAAATTAGTTCTTTCAGTTTCATATTTACTTTCTTCTTCTTGTTCAATGACATCATCATTTTTAATTATTTATTGAGGCTTCTATTTTTCTACTAATGTCAATTGTAATTAATTATAAAATCAGCTGACAATATTTTTTCTTACTGTCTATATTTGCTCAACTTACTGAGTATCATATGTAGGCATTGCTCAATTTTAATCAATAGATGTCAGTTTACTTTATTTTATTTTAATTGAATATTTATGTAAAAGAAAAAAAGAAGATTAATTTTTTTGCTTATATTGTCGAAGAATGTTTTTGAAAATTTTCATTATTCGAATGAAATTTTATTTGGTTAGAATATGTTGATATGACAACACGATTGTTCATGGGGAAGGAAAGAGTGGCGGGGTGTAGTGTGCATATTTTATTTCTTTTACCACAAAATGAAGTATCAAGTAAGAATAAAAAAGTTTTCGCTTAAAACTATTCCTGCAAAATATTTAGACAGAATATCAGCGAAATTTTCAAAAACGAACACCGAGACCAGTCGATGATTATACAAAAGAAGAACGAAAAATAAATGATGGTTAATTTTGAAATGGTTTCTTTTTCTTCTTCTAATTATCAATAATTTCTTTCTAGTACCAATAAAACGTTCATCTTCATTATCACCAGCTCGTCGTCGTGCTCATTCATCACCGAATCGAAATAATAATAACTTTGCGGTTATTGGTCCAAATGAGAAATTTTCAAATTCACATCTTTATCGACTTCGACAACCAGTTAAAGATAATACACGAGTGACTAAACCACGAGAATATGCAATTTTAGGAAGAAATGAAAAATTTCAAGAAAATACTGTTTATCCATTAAGAAAACCAGTTTTGGATAATTCGCCAAGAGTAAGACATTGAAAAACTTAAGAATTAAGAATAAATACAGTCACAATTGGTTTTAATTACAGATTCCAATACAACGACATAAAAGTGAAAATCATTCATGTGGTAGTCAAACTGTAAGCATGTTATACAATGATCCTAGCAGTATATTTATTTATTATCAAAATTTAGGACTTGAAAAAAGCACCATTTGTATCATTTGATCCTCAATATGGTCGAGAAACTATTCCTGTTCGAGTAAATAAAATTTTTCCATTGAAGACAAAAATCCTATTTATATGAATTCGAATAGAATCGTATTGGCCCACAAAGTGAATATCAACAGCAATTTCTCTGGAAACAACCATTAGGAGATTTAATTAGTGATCAAATGCTTGTTGAAGATTCGAAAGTGGTTAGTTAATAAAGTGAATTTCTGAAAAATTAAAATAAGAAAATATGTGTGTATTTAGCGTGATCGTCGTTCTGATCCAATATTACCATTTACTGTTATTGATCCTTCAGAAAAACTTCTCGCTGAAAAAACATCTGTTCAATTTAATCTACCTGCACGTAGTGAAGTTGATAGTGAAAAACCTAGACAACAAATAATAAATCGTACAGCTCCTGGTCCAGTAACTTCGACTCAATCAAGTAAAAATCAAATAAGTGAATATCAATCACGTTATAAACCAATACTTGATCAAAAAAAACCACGAACACGTAAAGCATTCGAAGCTGAAGAAGCAGAAGAAAGAGTAAAATATTTCTTTTTTTTTGTTTTCATCAAAAAAACATTTGATTTTATAGAAACGAAAAGAAATTGCTAGAGCTGAACATGCACATACTGATGATGAAGGTGCTGATAATAATTTGCAATTTGGAAAAGAATTTCGACAAAAACACCCACAGGGAACTTTAAGGTTCGAATCGATAATTTCATTAGAAAAACTTATTTAATAAAAAAAAACTTCGTTTTAGACGTTGGAAATCTGAATATCAAACAACATATAAACCTTTCTGGCGTTTTGATTATAAAAATGGAAAATGGTATAAAGATGCTGCAACGGTTAGTAAAACAATTCTATTCTCCTATGCGATCTAACTGTTTTCTTTTCTATTCATTTAGGAAGAAACAGGTTTTAATCCTAATCTATTCTGGTATAAAGAATTGAAATCAGGACGAAAACGCGCTGATGAATATCGTGCAAATGCTGAAGCCGATCATTTCAATCGTAATCATACTCTTCAATTACAAACAGGTCAAGGTGGAAATAAAAATTATCTTGCATGGGATACAAATGAAGATGATACTGAAAGTGTCATTTCTATTGATCGGTAAAATTCTAGATTGAATTAAAACAAAAAATAGATCGTTTCTTTTCTTTACAGTGATGCAGAACGTCAACGTCAACGTGAACAAGAAGCTAGACGACAAGTTGATGAACGAATTCAATCTAAAATTCACTATCAACAAGCTCAAACTCAACAAAATGAAAAACCAAGAACAATTAAATCTGATCCAATTGCCCAAAGTGATCATCAAGTTGATCGTGTTATTTATATTGATGAACCAGCACCAAAAGCACCAAGTGTTGCAACAAAAGCATTTGTACGTAATCTTAATTCTTCATCTGTTCAACAACATATGTTATGGGATTCTGAAAGTCTATATAGTCAACGAACAAATTCGGATCTGTGCGTATTACTTGTTGTTTTTAGATACCTTTTTTCTTATTCATACATATTTTATTTTCTAGAGGTTCTGAATCGAATACCGCTAGAGAATTACAGCGAAAACATTATACAGATGATGAATCAAATATTAGCCGAAAACCAACATCAAAAATACAAGAAAATCGAAGTACTAATACAAATTCACCTACAATAAATGACAGAAGAACTGAGGTAAAAAATAATAATACTTCTGTTCATAACTCTTTTTTTTGAACTTTAGCAAAATGATATTATTCGTCCATCAACAAGTTTTCATGACACTCGACATGCTGCTGGTAGATCAAGTTATGATACTCATGTATTTGATAAACGTCCAGCACCAGCACGACCTCATACTAGTATGAATGATTGTAAGTATTCAAAAATTTTGGCTCGTTCAATACGAAAATAGTCTTTATTATAGATCATACATATAAATTTGAATCACAAGATTATGTACCAGCATCAAATCCTTCATTTCAAAGTCATCTCAATAGATTGGATGAACGTTTTGGACAGACATATAATGCTCGTAATAAAGGTAAAAAATGAAAGACGTACAAATTAATGTATTACTTTTTTATTATTATTTTATATAGATGATGATGTTCTTTCGATTCATTCTGCACGATCCTTATCATCAAGTTGTAGTTTAGCATCTCAAACATTGGAACGTGCTCAACAGAATATGAACAAATATTGGGGTGAACATTCATCAAATTCGGTTAATGCATCTAAGAAACCATACAGTGCCAGACATTAAGATAAATACAAAAAATAATTTTGAAAAAAATGTGCGTCTTCATCAGATTATATTCTTAATTGTCTTTTTATACTCATGTTTTTTGTATACATTTGCTCCTGATTATATTCTTATTCTTCTTCTTCTTAATTACTCCTCATTGTTTCGTATTTGTTCTTTGTGTGGTTTGATGGTTTTGTTTTTAATATTACTATATAGTAGATTTGTGATATACTTAACTATACACAAGAAAAAAATAAATAAATAAATACAATTCTTTCTAGAAAGGGGCAAAAAACTGGCAATAATTTAATTATAAAACTAAATAAATGCATATGTGATTACGCTCATAGAGATATAATAAAATAACTGATCGATAGAAAACTAATATCTTTTGTAACACAATAAATTAGAGTCCTGCAAACCGGACGGGTACCCGACACCCGGCCCGACCCAGACCTGGGTACCGGGTAAAATTCGCTGGGTCGGTTCGGGCATCGGGCGTAAAAACAAAATCGGTTCGGATCCCGGGTAGGAGTGTATACCCGACCCGAACCGACAACTAGTGATATCACCAAATTTCTAACATTTTATGCTAGTACTATTGCTAATATGAAAAAAGGAGTTAAAATAAATCTGATAATGATTAAACGACCCATTACTCATCGTAATATTTCATAAAGAAAAGTTTAGTTTCTTTAAATAGCTTTTTTTATGTTTCGAATAAAAAGCTTTCATTGTTTTATTACTTAACATCTTGCAATACGAAGGGTGGATGTGGTTGTGGGTCTGTGTGTGTGTGTGTGTGGATGTGAGATAAGAGCAAGACCCACATCCTCAACTAACTCCTGATTCAATTGTTTTTTTACGTAATTTTAGATAGTTTATTCTTTTTTTTGTTATTTGTGAACGAAACTAAATGTAATATATTTATTGAATGAAATGAAAGTTTAAAAATTTGATCACATTCTGAAAAATAACTGAGTAGACCGGTTCGGGCCCGGGCGTAGAAAAAATTGCCGGTTCGGTTTCGGGTACTAAAAAGTGCGCCTGTGCAGGACTCTATAATAAATACAAAAGTCACGTGACAGGTTACCTAAGTTACGAACTTTTTTTTTAATCGAAAATGACTTTACAGTATCTTAGTTGCATTGATCCGTAAAGTGTAACTATTAGTTGTGAAGTTTAAATCCGACATGAAACAATTACGTCGTCAAATTTTTGTGTATAATTCTAAAAAACTGTAAAAGATGTCGTTTTTTTTAATAAAAAGAAAAGGAGGATTGTTTCTTGGCAATAAAGATTTTTAATGATGTTGTCAACAAACAAAAGAATATGGCACATATGTGAGATTTAAACAGTTTCAAGAAATCGACAGTAAACGATGTCTGTTGCAGCTAATAATCGATTACGCCCAAGTGGAACTTTAGAAACTGATGGTTTTACTGTAAAATCACTTTTAAAAAATGCCAAAGTATTTCTTATAAATATATTTAAAAAAAAAAGAAAAATAATTTTTTTTTCATAGGTAAGTGCCCCACCACCAGCAGAAGCAACACGTATTCGTAATAGCAAACCAACTGCCTTTCGTAAATTCTATGAACGTGGAGATTTTCCAATTGCTCTTGAACATGATACAAAAGGCAATAAAATCGCTTGGAAGGTATTTAACATCAAATAAAAAATAAAAATGAAATAAAATTATATATATGATAATATTAGGTAGAAATTGAAAAACTTGATTATCATCATTATTTACCATTATTCTTCGATGGCCTTTGTGAAATTGATCATCCATGGGATTTTTTTGCTCGTCAAGGTATTCATGATATGCTTGAACATGGTGGAAATAAAATTTTACCTGTTATTCCACAACTTATCGTACCGATTAAAAGTAAAATCTATTTAGATTATTTTCAGAAAAAAAGAGAAAACATTTTTAGATGCATTAAATACTCGAAATCATAAAGTTATATGTACAACATTAAAAATTCTTCAACAGCTAGTTACATCAGCTGATATGGTTGGTGAAGCCCTTGTTCCCTATTATCGACAAATTTTACCAATTTTTAATTTATTTAAAAATTGGAATTGTAAGTAAATGTGTTACATATTTACTATTGAAATTGAGAGATTGTCTTTTTTATTAAAGCTAATTTGGGTGATCATATTGAATATGGTCAACAACGACGTGAAAATATAGGAGACTTAATCAATGAAACATTAGAAGCATTTGAACGACATGGTGGTGAAGATGCATTTATCAATATCAAGTATATTAAATTTATATACATAAAAAAATACGTTTTGCTTTTTCTTCTTCTTTAGATATATGATACCCACATATGAATCATGTATGCTCAATTAAACAATTCAAATCACGTTCATGCCTTTTTCTTCAAACTCCTAAGAACAATCTTTTGTATTGTATTATATTGATATATTTTTTTCTTTGTGATGAATACATAACAAAGAAGAAATAAATGGATTTTAATATAATTACATAAGTTGTATCGATTTTTAATATAAACAGAAAAGCAAAAAAAAAGTTTTTTTTTATCGGCATACTATGATATTTTGAATTAATCGAAAAACGTTCCAGATTATTAAGTCGAGCTATTTAATAATTAGACATAATCAATCATATATTCGAGATTGAAGACATATCAGATTTTGATAAGAATGAATAGACGTAAAATCATACTCAGAAAATCTTGTTCACGTCATGTTTATTAATTCATTTTTTTTATTCACGATGTTATAGTTCAATCGAATAATATCATAATTATGCCCGGACAAAAATATTAACACTTCAATTTTAACTACAACGTATATAATAATCTGTCACTCAAAAATATATTGATTTCTTTATATAACTATTATTAAATTAGAAAAAAATACTTCGGCAAACTGTCAGAGACGCAAAGTTTTACTCTTTTCAATCATATAAATTAATTGTATGAAGTTCTAATCTATTTTTGACGTTCGCTGCTCTCTTACAAATTTCCTCTATTCGGTTCAATGAGACGCAATAATATTATATCATTACTGACATCATCTTATTAGACACAAAAAATAATTATCTTCAAAATCTAGTCAGATATATTTGAATTAACTAATTGAAATCTATTTCATAACTGCATTTTTGATTAATATTCTTGTCTTTTGAGAATTCTCTTTAAATATCAATAATGAATAAATTTATCTAAGTGCGAACATAGTTTACTCGATGTCAAAATTAATAATCCTTTTTCCTAGTAGACAATGATTCATGCATATGAAAAAAGACTGTACATAGAAAGATTAGTCTGATCTTTTAAGTAGTGTCATTTGAAAATCAAGTAAATAAATTCTATTTTAATTTTTATTATTCAATGACAAGTTATTCTCTGCATGAGTTTGTTGAAGACATTTCCATTTTTATATACAAGAATCATAACAAACAACAAGAAAAATAGAACCTCTAAATCGGTGTATATAGTAAATAATCTTGTAATTTCGGCTTTGAAGCAATCGATTCTATTGTTGATTGTTTAAGATTTTTTAAATTCTGTCGAACTAATAAACGACATAAATGTCTTAAATCAGGTATTTGTTTTATCAGCACATTAATTCGTTGAATATACGGTTGAATATCATCATTCGTAACTGATATTAATGATACTGGAAATGTGGGTAGATTCTGTAGTTTTTGTTCTAATTTTAATACATGTTTTATTCCAAGTGTTTTAATAAATAAATTTATATAATCATTATTAAAACGATTCAATGTTGTTTTTGTACATACACTAAGTCCATAATGTTCATCATTTTTACAAAGTAATATATTTGTTATTATTAAATATGTTACTAAATTTAAAACATCACTTAAAACCATTCGTCGTATATGATATTTTAATATAAATAATAAATGTGCATTAAGTAATAGAAAGTCTTGAGAATTTATATAGATAATTTGTTGTGGTGATGTTAAAGAAACAATATCCATAAGACGTAAACATGAACAATTCGATTCAAGTAAAAGACGAATAATTGGTAAAGATTTATTTGTTGTTGTTTCAATTGCAACATATAAATACGAATGACCACTGGAATCACCTAAAGAGAAAAAAAAGTAATATTAAAACTATAATTTCCTTGTAATTTCTAACCTTGATATAAATCACAACCATATCTGACAAGTAAATCCACCATATCAAAACTACCCACTAGTATAGCATGTTCTAAATAACTCATACCATATTGATCACGATGATTAATGTCAATTTCAAAATTATTTAATAAACGTTTCATTGATTCAACATTACAACGTGATACTGCTATTTGCATAGCACTTATTAGACGATTTTGCTTTGATTTTTCATGTGAACGAACATAATTTGAATTTGATTTTGATTTATCATTTGATATTGAATTTGTTGGACATTCATTGATTTGTTTTTCATATTTTCCTTTAGTTTTAGCACTTTTTGTTGATGTCTTTGGTGATTCATTTGACCATTCATCATCATCTTCATCATCATCAGTATTACTCGAACCATCATCATCATTGTCAATATCATTTGTTGAATTGTCAATATCATCATCATCAGCAACAATATTATCTATATCATTATCATCACTTGTATCATCATCGATATCATCAAAAACATCGTCACGACGAGTTTGAGATGATGAAGCATCCAGTGAAAATACACGTGAAAATAACGATCGAGCTCGGGTCAACATCTACAACAAATACTCAATTGTTAATATGAAGAAATCGAAACATATACTTGTGGCTATACAATGAACATTTGATGAAAGAGAAAAAAAAAGGAATGAGAAGAAGAAGAAGAAAAAAAACGATACTGACAATGAGTAATGTCGGTTCAAATGCTTCAACATATGATGTAAAGGCACACATATATATATATACTCTTTTTTTTTCTTTCATTCAATATAAATTTCTGCATGTTTGTGCACGAGTCTAATCTAGGACATACATCCGATTGCGAAAGACAACCTTTTAGTGCAAGTAAACACAAGGGAAATGAGCCGATATATACGTTTAATTTCTGTTTTCATATGACGAGGAAAAGAACTATTAAAAAAATCCATTTGTTACTTAGAGAATTTATATCGTGTACATTATCAATCAATTCTAGACTAAATATATTTCATAGGATAATTAATTAATATATCATGTACTAATAATGATAAATAAAAATATCGGAAACGATAGAAACAAATATATATAAATTCACCCCCACTAATCATGCTTTCTTTTGTTCAGATAAAACATTAAATCATTATTAAAATGAGTTGTTCCTGCTTGCTTTACTCACGTCGTTTCATTCTTCATCGATACTAAACAAAAGACAAGACTCTCGTCACATACATACATGGTAAAGAAAAACACATGCGTGCAACGAGGCGAGAATAGATGAGTCTTCTTCTTTTACCCAACATCATTTTTTTGTGCTATTTCGTTCTTCTTTTTTTTTTTCTTTTTTTCCTTCATAGTTTTTTTTTACAGTCAGATTAACTTTCCATCATCATCATCATCGTCGACAGACGGACCAGTTGCTATTACTTCTCTTTTCTCTCCCATATTTTTTGCGACTCTAGATTGCCTGAACGCTTATGATGGCAAGTCAAAAAAAAAAGAGAAGAGGAAGAAAAACGAAGAAAATTTTCTCAATCAACAAACATTTTTCTTTTTCCTTTAATAACTGTCTTTTATATTTGCTTTAAATCAGAAAAAAATAATAATAAATTATCCAAATATCTTAGAATATACATATCGATTAAAGGTAGTTTTACTTTTTCAATATAATTGCAATGTACGTACATAATAAATTATTTTAATCGATACAATCGAAAGAAAAGAAAAAAAAAACAATTTTACCTTTACCAGTAATATTATTTAAACAATCTTTTGTAATTCAAGATAAAATTGTTGTACACTTGAATATCAATATGTCATAAATCTGGTTCATTACTGCTGTCCTCTCTTGCATACTAAAATCTTACAATAGAGCATGCATCGATCTGTTTCGATGAATTTTGAATGTCATTAAACAGTGGTATTTATTGTATTGTATAGAAAAATGAAATAAATCTTTATTGTTATTGTTATTATGTTATATCATGACTAAACTAAGTTTACTATTGGTTACAATAATATTTGTCACATTGTTTTTCATATTATAATCTTAATGAAATGTCTCAAAATATCATATAACATTTTTTATTCAACTTTGTATATATAATGAGATACACAACTTCTGATGTGTAATATTAAGAAGCAAAACAAACAAAAAAAATGATCAAATTGTAATATTAAACTCGATGTTCACATAGAAGTGGATGAATCGATGATTGTTGACTATCTGGATAACAACATGTATATTCTGTTTCATTTAAATAATGAAATCCATGACGTAGAGTTTGAATAAATGGTGCTCCAGCATGTTGTTTTAATCGTTCAACTAAGTTACGCATTTCATGTACTTTTTTCGAACCGTGAACAAAAACAAATGCTGTATGACAATATTTATGACATATCATTTGATTCGATTCATAAGCTGGTAGATAACTATAATATGGATCCATTTTACATAATGTATGGTTTGCTCGGGCTTGCCATAATAGAATATTTAAACCTGTTTCATCAAAATTAGCACCCAGAAAATTATTTTGACGCATAAGATTATGAGCTTGCTGAAGAAATGGATATGCTCGATAATTCCATAATACATGAGCATGTACATATGGTGTTGTACGATTTTGAAAGTCAAGTTTAAATTTTTTTAAAAAGCTTCGATAATTAGTAGGATCATCTGGATGACGAGGCGCAAGTGGTAATGGATATGGCCATCGATGAAGAAGATCAAAAAGAGTATCAACATTCCAATTTACTAATGTATCAGCTTCTAGATAAATTCCATAATCGACTTGGCTATGTACGATAACATAAAATTTACAAAAATAAATTGAATTACCACAATCTTTTTGACTTAAACGTCGTTGAATTACACGTGGATATTTTTTGATGTCTATATTGAGATCAGTATCAATTCCATAGACTATAATAGGACGTGTTGAAAAATAATGAATAGAATCAAATACATTCGTTAGAAGTGCGAGATATTTTGGATTATTATTACAAAATGTAACAAATGCTTCGCTTGGTGTACTATTTAATGGTAAATTAGAAATAGATGATACAGGAAAATTAAGATCTGGAGTATGAATGATGTTGGCATTTTTAAAAACATAGGCAGATAATAAAAGAATGAGACATAAAATAATCCATAATAATGTTTTACGTGAATAATACTGAAAAGTCATATTATAATATAATTATACTAATGATCAACATTTTTGAAAAAAAATAGTTGTTAAAATTATAAATACATATAAAAACTATACTACATTTGTTCTTTAATATATGTTGACGACGAAGGAAGTCTTAAGAGTATCGCTTTTACTTTAACTTTACCTTGAAAAAGTAGTAAAAATATGAATTCCTATATCTCTTACATAAATCTTTGATAGATACGTTTAGAAAAGACAGCTTTACTATATATTGACAGAAGATTTTCTCCTATCTCGAATAGTTTATGTGACTTATTATCTCGCAAAAATTCGTGAGTAAAATGAAATAATAATGAAAAAGAAGTACTCTTATTAAATAGTTGTCAATTACCTGTATATTACAGATGTGTACCATGGTTTCATATAAAAATCATATATTATTTGCAAGAGGAGAAATTTTTTTATTAACTAACAGCAAAGATTTCTTTTCAAAAAAGATCGATATATTTTATCATTCTATAATAGAAAACAACGTATTTCTTCTCTTGTCACGTATAACCATATGTTACATATGCTTAAAGTCGTAAGGATAATTCAAAATATCAAAAGGTAGCAAGTTTTCTATCGAAGTGATCTATAGAAAGATACATATTAGCTTTTATGTTCACTCAATTTCATCGGTTGATCAAATTAATTCTATAAGCAAACTATGCACTTTCGATGGTTGACCTGTAATCCTAAAACAGATTTTATATAAATAGAATTCGTATTGTCTACTATGATTTGAAAACACAGTAGTTTTCTGTAGATTACAATGCAATCGATTCTTTTTCAATGAAATATAGTAGATTTTTTGCAATTGTCATAAATGCTAATGAGTTTTAATACAAATCAAAATATCCATTCTAGAGTGCATCAGAAATCACAGCATTCGCGTTTTTCCTCTTGATGAAAACTTATATTTTCATAACGTTGCTATTAACATAAATATGTGTACAATAAAAAGACTTTTCATCTATAATTGCTGGTTTTACTTCTATCGATATATGATAATATTCTGTAGTTAGTTACGTGAATCTTTTCACTAGAATAAAATAATAAATACATTACTATCTTGTATTGAATTAATTTCAACATCTGTTGAAGAATAATGAAAATAGAATCTTTAATAAGTGCAAAAATAAAAAAACTCCTTTAAAAACTAACTGATATTAATAATCATTGTATTTAGAGAATAAATGTACCAATCATTTTAAATGTTATAAAATTTTATGACAATACATCATTATACTTACTGAAGCAGTTCCATTTTCAGTTTTGCCTACGTAAAATATCTGAAATGACTTGCTAAGTCTTTCAATGGCTATCTTTTGTTCAAAACATTGATGCTCAACTACAAGTAATTTTATTCAAACTAAAACAAAAAAAATCGTCTGAACACCTATATTGTTGCAGGCAATTCTTTGTATATTGAAATAAACCTAATTATGCTTTAGATTGTTTGTCAAATAATTATTTATTAGATTTTATAATTACCACTACTGTAAAAGATGTTAAATATTTTGCTGAATTCCTAGAATTCTGTTTCATTCTTGTCCATTTTTATTATAAAGGTATTTCGCACAGTTATTAAAGTAAAAAGGTTTCAAATAATAAATAAATATATTTAATCAATAACAGTCGATAGAATTCATTTTACATCAACATTCTTTTCATGTAATTACATCTTGGATAGCGTGAATATCTTCGTCATTATAAAAGGTGAAATAATAAATCATATAAATAAAAATTATGTAATTATAAGTTAACATATCTTCTTATTTAAATTAACAATTTGTAGTTCACTCTCCAATATTATCAATAAATTGTTTAATTCAATCAAAAGATAGTCATTTTATTGACTATATATATTAATACTTTAGCTAATTTTTATCGATTGAAAAATAGTAGTAATGATTTTAATTCAAAGAAAAAGAATTTTTTCCAAAGATTTGTTTTATGTTAAGGTTGATGTGTTGTGCTTTCCATATATACTAATAACAACATAAGCCTATAATTCAACAATAATATTAAATCTTAATAAAAGTTTTCTTTACTTATTTATGCTTCATAGTGAACTTTGACCTCATCGGTTTTGATTTTTATGATGAACTACGAAAAACGGATTTTTGAAATTCATTTCGGTGCATGTTTTTTTCATTGTACAAATCTAAATAAAATCAAAACAATGCTCATTAACTAATTGATTGTGAAAACATGTTTAAAACTTTTACATATCATCAAAGGTATGAATCGTTTTGTTATAAACATAAAAACATTGTTATTAAAACTATAAATCAAGTTTTTCTAAATAGTAAGTCATATTCGAATTGATACTATTCTATAAAGCTCAAAAGAACTATTGAAACTTTTTTCATAGTATAAAAGCTCTGCTGAAAAATATATTAGTGTTATGTATACTTTTAAATCATGTTTTATATATTAAATTTATATTGTCGTAATTACAGACAGAGATTAAAGAGAGATTAGAGAACAACAACAAGTTAAAACTACATAGCTGACGAATACAAAATGTTATGGTAAAGAAGAAAAAACCGACGTAGTTAACGAAAAAAAATATCGGTATACGATACCTATCAGCGACCTCTTAATATTTATCGAAATATTAGGACTAAAATTGTGATTTGACAAATGAATTTTGGTCGATCAATAATTTTAAAGATGATAATATATTAACAACCAATAGAAAAATTGTTTTGAAAAAAATCAACCATATAATGAAGTTGATTGGTTAAAATTATATTTTCATGAAGTAAATAATGATATTTCTTTTCTCGATAATACAAAATGAGTCAACTTATATCTGTTAAACGTCGTTTTGTTAACTTTTTTTCCTCATAAAATCTATGTCCATTCTACCTCAGCAATTTAGTCAAACAATTAATTTCATGAGAATATCATTAGATCAACAGAAAATACGTTCGGAGCAAATAATCTATTAGTATAATATAAGCCTGCATATAATTAAACAACAATAACCATGTTTTGATGAAATCAGTTTTTTGATTAAATTGCTGAGGTACGGCGGACATGAGTTTTTGAGAAGAAAAATATTGACAAAACAACTTCTAACAACTATCAGTCGACTCAGTTCTTAATGCTGATTCCAAACATGCTATTAGCTTTGCATCAGGTCCCATTCATTCGACTGAAATTAGCAGACTTCAATACCAAATCAGGACGAGAAACTTGCATTTGGTCTTCCACAATTTAAAATGAGAATGAAACACCAAAACAAGCTGACAAAATAGGTTCTTTCTATTTTTTATACAAAAACTATTTACTATTTCTGTATTTTTACAAATCTTCCGAGAGAAAAATTATATAGAAATTTGAATTTACATTATTCTTCCACTGAATCTTTTGCAGATTACAACAACAACTTAACATTCTTCTAAAATATGTCTTCAACTCACGCACATGCAACTGGTGATGATATTGGTGTAGAAGCGACGGATGAACGTAATGATGATATTGGTGTACAAGCGACAGATGAACGTGGTGATGATATTGGGGAACTGATATGTGAAAACACACAAACAACTGACGGTCAAATTGTTGAAGGAGCAATAGATGGACAAGGTGATGGTATCGCTGAACTGGTGTATACAGACGATTCAATTAGTAAGATGATTTTTAATTTATTAATGGCACATAATAATATAAGATTAATTTGCGAAGTCCTCGTAATCATATCGCTTTTATTTTCATAGATAAATGATAACCAACAAAGAATTAAAACTGGTTTTTGTCCAGTAATACACATTATTCAACAATATCTAAATAAGAAAACAATATGATTATTAGAGTAACATGTACAAAATTCACTTTGTAGTATTTTAGTAGTACATTTGACTGAAAAATAACTTAACACTTTTATTAAATAACCATAATTCTATTAGAAGTCAGTTAGAAATATATTAAACGGTATGCTTTAATTTTTTGTATAGAAAGATATAGAAAAACATTGACTTCTTATAACATTCTGTTAAGAAACATGTGTTATATATAGTACAATAGACAGGTTTAAAAAGTAATAAGATTTCAATACATGATAAACGTATCTAACGCGAGTTATTTATCTGATTTTGAACAGCTTACCATTCAGATAATGTTTTTATGACCAGCTATTTATTCATTTAATCTTGAGAAACTTCGTTGATCATTATATTTGAATATAATTTGAGATAAAATACTTGAGCATTAATTCATGTTAAAGCATTTGAGTAAGCTTTTTAAAATGCTTATCCAGATTTTTACATTGCATTGCCATGTTATAAATAAGTTTGTAGAAGATAGAACAACATTCTATAACAAATAAACAAAATCCAATAAAAAAATATAGAATGTATCATAGAGAATATTTAGTAAAAACGAAATATAATATTCTAAGCAGATAAAAATATCCAGATAGCGTTCATATATATTAGTCATCGCTGTCATTTGAGTATCACAATATTCGTTCAGAAGTTAACGGGAAATACCAAAACACTCCTCAAAAGCTTCACTATTATATTTTAGATGCACATTGAATATAGAAAAGCTAATTTAACTTTCAAAATACATCAAGATATTATAACAAAATAATTTTTCAACATGTTTTTTTGATACAGATGTTACTTTGTGTATTCTGCTCACAAAAGTTTTCGTGTTTTATGGATTATTTGATAGAATAGAATAGAACAGAAATAATAATACAGTAGAAAATTGGAATATCTTCACTATGATCTAGTCAAGTAACTAGTAACAGAAGCTTATTAAAAACTGTTTATATAGATTGCGTAAACACATATTAATATTATATGTATCATTATTAATATGACTAACAAAATTCTATTAGTTGCTTACTACAAAACAATACGTATAAAATAGGCTACGGAGAATTTTTACTTTTTTTTCATCCAATAATCAGAAAAAAACAATCAAAATACAAAAAAGATAAATGTTATAATATGGATGTACATAAAGGGATTTTTTGCAAAACAGATGAATAAAAATTCAACGGTTATATCATTTAGAATAGAATAGTCAGATATGTGAAACTGAACTTTTAAAGAAAATTTACGATTTGATGTTTACAAGATTTTAATTATATACTTTAGCTGTCGACAATGACTTAATTATAAAAGTGATTAGTTTTGAAAAGTTGCTCTATATGCATCATTATAGTGCCATCTACCGATTTTTGTCATCTCTTCTTATTACACTCATAACTAACGATTAAAAATTTAGGCTATAACGATTTTGAACTATAAAGTAATTTAAAGTTACCGTATATTCTGCATAATAGTTTTTTGTAAGGACTCTCTTACGATCTTCCATCCTGAAGATATCAAGAAGAAAACGCGTAAGGAAGAAAACGTACGAACACGATTTTGATTTTTTGATTTATATTATCGTTTGCCCTTATTCTATTAAGTTACTAATAGAATTCGATACTATCAGTTTGGGATTTTTCTCTCTTTTTCATTATAATCTTTTCTTTCCTATATTTTTATGACTCAAATTTGATGCTTAGATAAGTTCGAAGTTGAAATTTGTGGATGTAAAAGATGAATATAATTCTCATATCTGTATCCATTCGACAATAAAGAGCTAAATATTAAATTCGACTTTGATTTTTGCATTTCTAATTATTCTCGTAAATCCAGAAAATCTTTAAACTCTACAGAGCTCCGTTATCTCTAATACTTAAAAGCGTTATTTATCTATGATGTATACATGAGACAAAACTTTGAATAGGGCTTTATAAATTGTCAACAGACCATCTGATTTATTTCTACTGTAATTAGTATGTTAATTTTTTGTTTTACTCTGTCAATATTATCACTCTTGAAATAAAAAAAAAGTATATGTTACAAGATATGTTTCTAGTTGTTTACGGATAGTAAAGGATACTGCAGACTCTTTCATGTAAAAATTTATGTAACTTAAAGATGTAATAAAAAAATATTATTATTTTGAGCTTTACAAGCGAGCAAACATCATATATGTATTTTAATGAAATTGTAGGAGTTATTTCACATTAAAGTTATTTTAACAAGATGAAATACATGAAACTTCATTAAAATACATAAGCTTGATGCCTTTCAAAGGTTGAAAATATAACACCTTGTTTTTCGCCAAATCTTTAAATTTACATAAACTTTTATATGACCTTCTGAATATTTTTGATGTTTAAAGTACACCTACTTTTTATCGTTGACCAGGCCGTATTGTAACTTCCATTAATTTGTAAAAGTATTGCGTCGTTATGAGCTGTTCATGATCTAAAAAGAATACATTTATAATTTAATGAATAAATGCGTTATCGCTCCTTTTGGTTCTTTATCCCTCTTCTCAAAAAACAAGAATCATTCTTATATTCACTCCTTAAATACTTGACGATATCAGTAGTACGTGAGGAAACGAAAGAAAATCAGCATTCTTTATGGCAAGAGATATATCATGCGATAACAAAATGCGTTAATAAATTGTTTTATTTTTCAATATTAAAATTTAAAAATATCTCAAGTTTTGATATTTAATAAACACGCTCTAAACATGTATCCTTAGAAGAGAAATATGATGCAGCGATATGAAAATAATAGTTAAATACAAAATGTGTACCAATTTTGACTTTGTAGAAATACAGAAAATCTTGAGTTTCGAAAAAACACGTTTTTCAGTCTTACTATCTCCCGAAATATATTTACTACATTTAAAAGGTATTTTATGATGAAAGTTACAACAAGGAATAATACAAAATCATGATAATATTTATGCAATAAACTCATAAATATCTACGACAATGATTCTGATATAGAATTTTGGTGTATGTCTGAATCAAAGAACAAGAAACTAATGTAAATCACCGAAAAAACAAAATTAACTGATTTTAAATCGCTTCCCTCCCCGCATTTCACCAATATATCGTTAAAAAAAAGTTGTATAGTTAGTTACAATATTCTAAATCAGAAAAGTATTGTATTATCATGTGCATGACGAATAAAATCATATTTAGAAAAAAGTTGTCCGAATTACCTATTGAAACTTGACTTTTTCGTAATTTTTTCAAAAAAAGATAAATTTTACATGGGTGTTTATTTTTAGCAAGATATCAAGCAGAAAAGAACAAATGAATAATAAACTATATGTAAAATCAAACTGATTAAAAATCTTCCAAACTATTATATTGTTAGCTGATTTCTTTATACGTGTATTGCTAGTATCTAGTCAGAACACATAAATATAAAAAAGACATTTATAAAATCTTTGTGGATAGCACAAATATTAGGTAATTTGTAAAGTACTATAAGAACTTTCAATTATTTATCATTAATATACAGAAATGATAGACGTTTCAGAAGGTTTTGTTTCAATCATCATGAAATGTATTAGTTAAAAATTCATTCAACCTATTTAATTAGATTTTAAGAGTTTGTAATCGTTTGATGTCTTTATTATATATAACCATTTATACGGAGGAAAAAGATCTTTTTCATTCATTCTATTACGACTTTAATCACTGTTTTCATTTTGATCAAGTTAGAGCAATTTTTTCACTCGGTATTATTATTGTAGTAAAAGATGAAAATCAAACAAAGTACGAAAGAAAAGAAGAAAGATTAGAAATCTACATTTCGGTCTAATAAAAGAACAAAATGTAACATGATAAATCTTTACGAGGAAATACATAAAAATAATGATCTCGTAATTACTACAGAGGAAACTATAGTTCAATCACAGTCATTTTCATAAAATTAAAACAAATTCATAAATAATAAAATAGATAATTGTCTTTTTCTTTAGTATCATTGGCATTACTGAATCCGAATCCACTGACTACACACAATGGAAACGTAATGATTGGTAAGATTTGTTTTACGCACAAAATTCAGGATTGACCGACATTTACCCGCAGACATTTGCGCACACGACACTTACGCGCACGAGTCTTGCGCGTATAAACACTTGTGCGTGAATTGAGAAAAAGATGACAAATTATTTTTTTCTTGAATTTGATTTGGATTATGAACGAGCGCAAATTTATGCTTAGCTGCTGATAAAAAATACTTCTCAATTTCAAAAAATATATCGATATAAACTATTAACAGAGATAAATAGTATTTATTTACAATAAACAAACAAATACCCAAAGTGATCAATGATTGAGAATAAAGAATGTAATCATTCAAAAATTAAACACTGCTCTGGCTATTTTAAAATAGTCGTTTGTAGAAACAGTATGAAATTCTTTCACCATGTTTCGTATTCGAAGATCAATTTTTTTATATTCTGTGCGTTAGTCTTTGCCTTTGACTGGTTTTATAAGAGACATTTATGTCTTCGAAAATACTAAAATAATACACACATATATAGATGCTTTGTCTTTATACTTTTATATGATATGTTTTGTCTAGTTTTAATATCATTTTGATGCAAAAAGCAAATTTAATGTTAAAATTAGATCATCTTTTGATTCTCATTAGAATCTTCTATGTATTTTCTTAATAAACCAATCTCACTAACAAAATATTTTTATTTCTGTTAATATATATGAGTAATGGAATCAGATGAGAACAGAACGAAAAAAACAATTTTTGCGCGCGTAAGTGTCGGCGCGCTACTATCGTGCCACAAAAATCCTGAATCAGTAAGAAAATTGAAGGACAAAATTCCATGTTTACTCACTGCTGTTTGAACTGCATTTTTTATTTACACAATCGAACGA